TGCAACTTTCCTTGTTTAATTTACTGCCCCCCATGTTTCGCGGCATTTGTCCCAACATACTGTAAGCGCAATTGTTGCAGATTTCATGCCAGCATGATGTGTCCATGGTGCAACACGTCGACCAAACGGGAAACACGGCGGCGGTGCACTTTCTGCATGAGTTTGGCCGCGGGCATGCGTCGTTGGGGTTGGTTGTCCCAGGTAATCAGCTGCAAGATGTTGCAAGCACTTGGTGGATGCAGGTTGTCTTTGGACCTTGATGCTGCAGCGACTTATTTCAAATGCTGGCGGTTGGCCACAAGCTTTCCGCATTGCCGATGAGCATGGGGCATCCGATCCAAGTCCAGCCGCTGTTGATCCATGTTGCCGCCTGTGTTGACACGGCATCGTGGTGGCCGCGTGCACAGCTGGCAAAAAATCGGGCGGGAGGGTGCGCAACAGGTGGTCAGCTCGCGGCGGCGCACATCGGCGAAGAGGAGCCAAGCACACTGAAGAGAGGCAGCTGGGGAGCTCCCGCTGTAGCCGCGCCTCCTCTGGCAGGTGCGCGTCGGTGTGGGCGGCGACATACCGTGGGTGCCGAAGCGCTGCGCCGAAGGCAACGAACCCGCGCTCGGTCTCAGGTCGCCGCGCCATACGCCGGTCCCCAGCTCGGCGATGTCAGGAGGATCAGGCCCTCCAACATGGTTGTGCACCTGGGTTTAATCGAGGTTCGCGGCGACGTATCGATGGAGGTGACGACATCAAGCGCCTCACGCGCGCGGGCCGGCGTGGTGACCAGGCAGACGTCGTCGAGGAAGGCCGCTATAGACTCCCTCCGGGGCACAGCTGCCCGTCTGCGGCCACGAGAGCGTAGTGTTGGCCCAAGGCACAGCGCTGGTGCCAGGGCGCCCCCTTGTTCACACCCTTCACCCTGATGGAAGGTGCCCGGTGGCGTCCCACAAGATAGTAGTACGTGGACCACTGCCCGCCCCACTAGCGCAGGAACGGGACGAATGCCGGGGCGACGGCGTGCAGCTTGCGCAGGAACGCAGTGCGCGAGATCGTGTCATAGGCGCTGCGGCCGTCTGGTCGCCGCAAAAACGAGATCGAGAAAGGTCGCCCATTCCAGCGCGCATCTGCAGCGCAAACTGGTTGGCATGGCCGGGTCGCCTCGTCGAACGTGTCGGCAAACATCCGGGCAAGGCTGCGCGAGACGAAACGCCGGAAAGTGTCACCGGTGGCGATGCAAACGGGGTTATGGAGCGCGGGGAGATGGGAGAGGCCCAGGGCAGCTGCAAGTCGACGGGGACGCGTAGTTGAGACGCTTGCCGACAATGGACCCCAAGACCTGTGCACCAGGGCCATGCTTTCCGCGTGATCAATTTTTTTTTGCAGGCGTGTTGTCTTGCTGATTTTGGTTGCTTAGCGTGGCGTGCACAGGCTTTCCGGCATTTGTCAGAAAAGTTTTGCGTCGGGTTCGCGCGTTATCTGTCTCTCAGTAAAGAATTATCTCTGATTGCGGAGCCTCACAAGCACTTGACATGTCCTTATGATGCGGGGGCTGAAACTCCACATGTTTTTCGTTGGCGAGATCAACATCAACGCAAAAGTGGCAGCCCGCATGGGGGGGGGGGCAGACAAAAAACGATAGTGGAGACTAAACGATGGGCCTATCAGTACGAAGGTTTTCCGTTGGCGACATGCCGTTATGGCCCCAACTCGCGCGTGCGCACTGAGCGTGACTTCAGGCATGCGTGCGTTCGGGCGCCGGGCGCACCTAGGGATGCAAGTGCTTGGATTTGCCTTGCGGGCGCGGCGTTGACTAGCTACTAGTTGCAAACCCAGGTGCAGCGGTCACCGGATCTGACTCGGGTCGGGTGCCTAGTATCATTTGGGGTCGGCGTGCGAAGGATTCCATGCCAACAAATCGACATGTTGAAACCGGAACGTATCCTTGCATTTGAGTTTCACCCTAAACCCTAAACCCTCAACCCTCAACCCTAAACGAGTACACCAAGAGTGTTTCGCAGCGGGGCATCGCCGTGTCCGTTCAATCAACGGATTTGGTCATGGATGTGTGCTTGGAACCCCATGCATACACAACATACACAGCATGCAACCTAACTACTTGTGCGAACCATGGACCGGGAGTACGTCCACAACAACACCATCAGCTGTTTGCCTCGGTTGTGAAGCTTTTCGTTTTGGTACTTGCAGCCAACTTTGCATTGACAAGCTCATCCAACACATCGTCGTACACAACAATACAACATCAGAGAGAGAGAGAGAGAGAGAGAGAGAGAGAGAGAGAGAGAGAGAGAGAGAGAGAGAGAGAGAGAGAGAGAGAGAGAGAGAGAGAGAGAGAGAGAGACTGAGAGACTTGGAGGGGAAGAGCCGTCGTGCTGATGACGAAGCTGGCCGTGCAACATCCGCGCCACGTGAAGGGGCGGCATTTCGGGGGCCAATCAGCCGCATCTTGCGCTTTCAGGAGGGGGATGGCGGTGCTTGTTCCACGCAGCCCACCTAGGCTGGGTTTGCACGACCCACACATGGCATCGCATCGCGCACGAAGCCGCCAACTGGAGAACCCTCTTGGGAGCCTGAGCGCTTGACGAGTCAGTGATTGGCCGCGCTTGACCGTTACCAATCAGGCCTCCGCATGCCCCGGCGCTCTCCTCAGAAAACTTGTTCGTCCGCGCTGCTGGTACGCATGCCGAATTAATTCAACCTGCAACCTCACTTCCCGCATGTTCCTGCACCGCATGCAACCATGTGACAACTGCTGGCAGCATCTGCTCCACAGCGGCTGTTCGCCGTGCATTCAGAACGGGCTAAGGTGCATGCCGTTTCACCCAATCATATAATACGCTCAGGAGCCCAGCTATGCATGGCCCGCGGGTTCGTCCACCCACCTCATCACCCAGGCTGCAGGTGGGGAGCAGAGATAGCAGAGGACCCGTTCGTGTGGGTTTTGTTTTCTCTTGCTCTGACGCCCCCCCCTGCGCTCGTTGCAGGAGGAGCTGGAGCTAAGGAGCATTCATCTGCCTACCTGGGCTCCGGGACGATGCATCGTGGCCTCCCCAGCTCGTGTTGTCCACTCGCGTCGCTGTGAGCACATGCACGTTCACGCGAGCCTGTGGCTAAAGCGACGGGTACAAGCGGATTTTTGCGGGGAGGTGGCGTAAGCCCGCTGGGCGGCGGGCCGTGTACCCTGCGCCGAGTGTAAAAAAACAATCGCCATGTTTCTCACAGTGTTGGTGTGTTGCCTGTTCCGTGACAACATCGGTAGGGACGATGTTTTCGGCATGGTTCGCTGTTTGGCCGCACATGAGCAACCCGCTGCGGCGTTGTTGTAGTATGAACTGCCCACATTACATCCATTGATATCCATTGCTTTGCAACGCGCAGGCTTTTATGCTGAGCGCCTGGCTCCCGGCCATCATACCGAAGTGCAAAAAGTTGAGGAACAATTTGGCTGGAAACCTGCTCCCGCCCATCTGAGGACGGGAGTCGAAAGACTCATGAATGCGAAGCAGCGCTGTTCGCAGACATCGTGCTTAAGGAAGCCATCGAGTCTGCGTCAGGAACTTGCGCTGAGCCAAGCAGCAGCTTTGATGCAACAATCCCTGCGCGCATCGAGTAATTTCACGTTGCAGGCCTACCATCGCTGCGCTGCCTCTCGTTCGTGTACCTCATCAAGCATGCACAGTCGAAGGTTCGTTGACGCCGTATCGTTGACATGTAGGAGCACCAATGTCCCCCGCAGGATTGTAGGTAGCTGGCGTTTCACCTTGACTCGAAATGGCGAAAGCCCAAGCGCAAGCCGCAAGCGCCTTCCGGAGAGAGGTTTCTCGCGCGCGCGCGCGCGCGCGCGATTGTCTTCTGAACTGCGCCGTCCGTGCAAGGCGTGGAGTACGGCGGTCACCGAAAGCGGGGCGCAAAATACTTCAGAGTAATGAAGAGCAGACATCTGCATCATGAGCTTTGTCAAAAATCATGATGCGTTGCCGCTTCGGCTCGGTGGTTGGGTCTGTGTGCTGGCAACGGCACATTCCCCCATATTTCGTCACCGTAACGAAGTAGTCTGAAGGCCGTGGCCCCGAGCAAGAAGCGTAGGTGAGCACGACAATGCCCAACAGACAGAGCAGCCCAATTGTGAAATGTGGTGGCTGAAGAAGCTTCGCACGGCCGTGCAGCGGAAAAACAAGAATTCTCGACCAAACAGATTCGAGAGCACCTGGGCACCTTAGGCCTAGGCGACAGCATAAAGGGACGCCGCAACAAGCCAGGACTTACACAGCAACCTTCGAGCAGGAACGCAGCCTCATTGGCTCAGAGTGAAAATGTGAAAAGGGCAGGCGTCGCTTTTTCGCCCTTCCCGAATTTCAGGGGCTGCTCGCTCTTGAAGTTTCGGGATCTGCGGGGCATGGCGGTGCACCAGAGCGCGTGAGTCTGAAAACAAGTCAATTTCGCATTGCAGGAACTGACTGGTGGGATAGGGATCCGAGAAACTGCTTGTGCGAGTGTGAATCGGAATGGTTTCTGGAAATCTGCCAGTGCGTGCCGAATCCGGAGAAACTTTGCTAGCACACGTGCGACTCAGGTTGCAATGCACTCACTGGCAAGCATACAAAGCTGTCATCACCTTTTCTGGCCACGCTATCTCGGCTGCGAAACGGCTGTCTCGATTGAGCTGCATTCGAATCCAGTCACCTTGAAAACTGGGCTCGTAGAATCAACCCTATTATGCGCCTCAAGGCACTGCATTTCAGAAGCCCCCGAATGAATGCTAGGATGTAGTTTAGGGTGAGAGCAGACTGCAGCTCAGTTGGTGTAGCAAACGTGAGGAGCACAGCGCTTGTCCGACAAGGATCCAAGCAGGGAACAAGGCATGAAATCGCAGTGCCACCTCCGCACCCCTATATATACATATATATATATACATATATATATATATATATATCATATATATATATATATACACGAATGTAGCCACGTAGAGTCGCCAAGAACAGCTCTGCTCACTTCTTTTCGTCCTCTTCCTTGACTTTGGCCTTGCCCTCCTGCTTGACTTCCTCGGTGTTCACAAAAACAAGACGCACTCAAGAATTGTGATCAACAGAATATCAAGTCCTTTAGCATGCAGAAACACCACCGCGCACAGCAGGAGAGGCGAGCAGAAGATTTCCAAAGGGCGGTACTGAAGACTGTGCCCCAAAAGCTGAAGTTTAGGGTGCAGGGTTTATAGGGTTCTAGAGCTTGGGATTTCGGGGCGGAGGGCTTTATCGTGGCGACGAAAACGGGGGTGGTGAGAGCCGGTGTGCACATTGAACCTCCATCCTTGAAGCCCGAGAAAGAACGTACTCCGCTGCCTGAACAGCACTTGTCGGGTCCAGGCCAACATTGCGATCCTCCCTTAACACAGCAGTTCGAAACTCGCCAAACTCCAAAGCCTAACCTCGTGAGGACCTGAAGCCTCAAGCCCCCCCCCCCCCCAACCCCCCTAAACCCTCCTACCCTAAACCCTCATGGCAAAAATAAGCAGAATTTGCACGTGGTATCAGTTTGAATTTCCCAAGTTGTTTGTTTATGCAGCTGACGAGCCAAGCTTCCGCAAATTACTTCAACGCGGGTCTCGGACATCCCAAGGCTCCCAAAAGAGCAACCAAAAAGGCTGTGAGGAGGTGGACCAAAAGGGAAGACGTTCAGGGAAACCCTAAACCCTAAACCCTGAACCCTAAACCCTAAACCCTAAACACCCAAGTGCACAACAACAACAACAACAACAAGCTCCGGGAAAGGGCTCCTTCCCCGCCCCGCCCCCCAACAACCCCCACCCCCTTCCAAAGATAAATGGTGTAATTGCAGGTTCTAAACGGAAAATCGTCAAAGCGTTTCCACACATCCTAAACTGTATATTGGGCCCAAACCCTATACAGTTTAGGGTTTTGGGTTTAGGGTTTACAGAGTTTCTATAAGCCCCAGTCCACCCGAAAGGCCCCTAAACGGCCCAAATATGCTTCCAGGCGGCCCCCTTGATGGCTTGGTCTTGCTTTGGATCTCGGTAATAGCCCAAGCCACGCATGCCTCGGAAAACAACCCTAAGGGTTTAGGGTTTAGGGTTTAGGGTTTAGGGTTTAGGGTTTAGGGTTTAGGGTTTAGGGTTTAGGGTTTCGGGTTTCGGGTTTGGGGTTCAAGTCTACTTGGGGTTTACGATCAGTGTAATTCCTGGGCAGGCGTGGCCAAGGTTGGGGACCATGGAATGTTGGCGGTCACAGATGTGTGTGGAGGGCGCATGCGCCAAACTTTGGAAACTAAAGCATGAAAACATGCAATGGCAACGACAAGAACCCCCCCCCCCGGACCCACCCACACTTGTGCAAATACACACACACACAAACACGAGCAAACATGAGCACAAAAACACACAAACACGAGCACAAAAAACCGCGCACACACACACACACACAAACACGAGCACAAACACGAGCACAAAAACACAAACACAAACACAAAGACAAACAGCGCTTCAAGCGTCCTCAAGAAGGAAAGTGGGGGAAGCAGAGGCCCCGGGCCCATCTTGAAGCACCAGCCAGGCTTGGCGCCCTGGAAGGTCGTCGCCTCGGGACGTACAGTTGCACTTAAGCGGCATTGCTCTGAAACCCTAAACCCCTTGAACCCCTTGAACCTCTTGAACCCCTTGAGCCCTTGAACCCCAAAGAGCGCCTATCGGGCTTGACTGGCCTTAAGGGGCTTTAAGGTTTAGGGTTTAGGTTTAGGGTTTAGGGTTTAGGGTTTAGGGTTTAGGGTTTAGGGTTTAGGGTTTAGGGTTTAGGGTTTAGGGTTTAGGGTTTAGGGTTTAGGGTTTAGGGTTTAGGGTTGTTTGAAACAAAATCACCCGCTTGGGCGGGAGCCGGCTCGAAGGACTCCTGCTTGACGCCGCCCTGTCGTCAGACTCAAATAAATTTAGGGTTTTAGGGTTTTAGGGTTTTTGGTTTAGGAAAAAAAGGGACCCCTAAGTATAGACCCTCAAATAGGAGGATTCCCTTGCAAAAAGGCCCCCAAAGTTGAGGTGACGTGCTCGGCGTCGTGCTCTGCTAATGGCTATTGGGTTCAAGGGTGATGTTCATGTGCTGTCTTCCGCTCTGCGAGCTTCCGAAAACCTTCTTGGTTTGGGGTTGGAGTGTTCGTGTCTGCCAAAAGTTTGTGAGGACTTGCTGCTTCATCGTTGGTTGTGTCTATTGCTGCACCGTATGAGACTGTGAGGCTGAAGTACCCCAAGTTGTAGCCTGTGCCCCACACCCACCTCCACATGCGAATAAATGTTGAATCTATACTCCCCTTTTAACCTTAATAAAAACAACATATATATATATACATATATACATATACATATTTATTTATTTACTTATTTATAAGATCCTCTTGGGTTTTATACAAACAAAAATAGAAAAAATGATTCTCAAGGGGGATATAGGAATAGGGTAGCGCAAACCTGTTTCATGTCCAGTGACTCCCTGCATGCCTCGTCCTTGATGTCCAGCTCGTCCTTCTCCGCGGCTGCCTGGCAGCAGGTTGCCGCAAGCCGTAAGCTTTTCGCCATGGAACCCTAAACCCTAAACCCTAAACCCTAAACCCTAAACCCTAAACCCTAAACCCTAAACCCTAAACCCTAAATCTACACCAGAACCATCCAAAGCCGAGTCATGCGGCAACCCGGCTCACACTCCAATTCGGAGCATAACACCCAGCACAGTGCCCCTCACAGTACTGGGTACGGCCGGGGAATTCCCACAGCATGCGAGGACTGCAACTTTTTGGGGGAACCTCGAAGATCCTCGAAGTAGAGCCGGGACGCCCTGAGCCCTGTAACCTGAAATTGTCCAAAGACCCTTTCTAGATGGAACGTGGTTATCCAAACCCTAACACCAAAAACCCCAAAACCCTAAACCCCTAAAACCCTAAATACCCTAATACCTAAAACCCTAAAACCAAACCCTAAAACCCTAAAACCCTAAAACCCTAAAACCCTAAAACCCTAAAACCCTAAAACCCTAAAACCCTAAAACCCTAAAACCCTAAAACCCTAAAACCCTAAAACCCTAAAACCCTAAAACCCTAAAACCCTAAACCCTAAAAAACATTCTTCTTCGCGAGTTTTTTAGACCAGCGCTGCCTCCTCTTGGGCTGTTGCCATGGCAGCATACGGGTCCTCGCCCTGCAGGAGCAGCTCCACCTGCATGGAATCGTGGGGCCTTCCCCCTTATACTAACAGGCCTTTCTAGGGGTTTAGGGTTTAGGGTTTAGGGTTTAGGGTTTAGGGAGTAGACTGGGGGGGTACTATAATCCCGATGAAGGACTGTTAGTGTGAGGGGGAACATCCCGAAGTGAATCAAATTTTTTGGTAACCCGAAGCACATCTACCTTTCCAAGTCATCTGCGTTGTGATCCAAGTATCTCACAAAAAAGTTCATGAATTGTGAGAAGCTTACAGATAATCTGGGACAGGCACATATGTCTCGAACAGATTAGGGACTTTTGTAGAGAACCATGAAATATTTTGCGAGGATGCTCTGGCTGGCTTTGGAACAAACATTTTGTAAGAAACATAGAAACACAGATTCTGCTCAAAAAAAGCATAGAACTTTTCAACACATCTGGAGCTTTCTTTATACAACCCAGAAAAATATCAGTCAACACCTCGTGCGCCCCGAACCAGCACGTTCATGCTTTCGCGGTTCATGGACAGGGTTTTAGGATTAGGGTTTTAGGTTTTAGGTTTTAGGGTTTAGGGTTTAGGGTTTAGGGTTTAGGGTTTAGGGTTTCGGGTTTCGGGTTTAGGGTTTAAGCTGGACAGGCCCGCTACAGATCAGTCCTCTTTAACAGAAAGAACGTCGTTCCTGCAAAGCTTCTTGAGTCAAGGTCTCCGGTCATGAGTCCGCCGAGGTTCGTAAACACGAGGTGGAGCTCAGAGCAAGAATCCCGTACCTTAATTTCGTAATGACCTTTATTGCAATAATCTTGAAAGATTTGCTGAACCTGCCTTATAAATCTGAAGCCCTAAGCCCTCTCAATCTGAAGCCCCGAACCCTAAAATACTTGGGGCGTTCAGGCTAAGGTGCAGCAAACTCAATTGTAAAAACACGGCCATTTGTACACTGTGTGTGTACACTAAGCTAACATGCTTCAACTTGCTTGACAATCGAGAGAATGCGAGAGCATGCCTAGCCCTACAAGAAACCGAAGGACCGAATTGCAGACATTGGAGAGGGGAACCTCGCGGTTCAGCGGCTTGGCATTGAACTCGGTTGGATAGACCTCCCGAAGACGTTGAGATGTGATGAGACGTGCTGAGACTCGGTCTTTGAAGGTGACGTGCTTCACCTTCCTCCAGCTTCTACCGAAAGCCTTGAGAACCTTTTGTAATGTAGGGGCCTGAATCATTAGAATAGGGTATTGGGGGGTTATTACAGTATACTGATAAAGCTTAAAGGGACGATGACGGAGTACTACTTGCAATTATTCCGACCCCTAACCCCTAACCCCTAACCCCTAAACCCTAAACCCTAAACCCTAAACCCTAAACCCCAAACCCCAAACCCTAAACCCTATTAGTAATTATTCCGACCCCTACATTTCTCGTGCTGCAAGCGCCTCCTCGACGAAGCGCTTCAACTTCACGGCCTGGGGCAAATGCTCTGCTACAGATCAGCAGCAACAAACCTATGAAGGCAAGGCATCTCGCAGAGTTGCCCTAAACCCTAAACCCTAAACCCTAAACCCTAAACCCTAAACCCTAAACCCTAAACCCTAAACCCTAAGCCCTAAGCCCTAAACCCTAAACCCTAAACCCTAAACCCTAAAATTCTGAAGATGTTAGGCCCGGCGCCCACTTGGCCCTCCAGTTCGCCACCTTCTTGACGGTCTTGTTCCACTCCAGACCCTGCAGAGGTGGGGGTTCACGATACCTTCTTGGGGTCCTGAATTATTACTAGGGGATCCTGCACATTTGGGCGTTTACCATACTTGAAGTACCACCTTTTAGGGTCCTTATGATTAGGGGATCTATTTGGGGGTCGATATTAGGGGTCCCTGAGTATCGTAAACCCCCAAGTAACAGCACTCGGCTCTTTCACTCCGTCGCTCTGGCGGCGGGGGAATTTGTTAGAGAATTTCTCGAAGCCACCCGGGTTGGCCCTTAGAACCCTCTGAAAAAGACTCCTAGATATGGTCCTCTTAAACCCAATAAGGGAAAATAAATAATGTTCGAAGGGCGTACCTGGCAGCCAAGCTGTAGTCGGGCAATCGTGTTACGGCAAAGTTTTGATGTGGTCGGTCCAAAGCCATACAAACCCTGAGGCAAGCTTCCCCGCAAAAACTCCCAGCTGCACATCTTACACGGCTGCGCCGGCGAATTGGGACAGCACCAGCTCGAAAACCTCAATGGTCCGAACGCTTTGATGGCTCCTCAAAAAAAAGCCTTCGGATGTTTCTGGACTGCTCCAATGCCTGGTTGGGCTCGGCGTCCACACACTTTCGGATCACCTGCCAGAGGCGGGGGTGTCGGATCAATCTGCGGGTATGAATCTCCGTTCTGAGCAAGCTCCCATATATTATTCTTCTTCTTCTTCTTATTATTATCATTCTTATTATATATTTTTAATATTACATTATTACCCCTTGCCAGAAAACTCTTTCACTTCTAGTCGTCACACTCGCTCGGATGCGTGGCTCAAGGAAAGCAAGACGAGAGTCGCCACACCGATGGCTGCAAATAAAGGCGAAGGTGGGTTAATCCCTGTTCCCCTCAGAAGAAAAAAAGGATCCTTTTTGTTCATCTATAAGAAAGCCCATAACCCAAAAAACAAAAAGGATCCCCATACAAGAAAGCCCATGACCCAAAAAGTAAAAAGGATGCCTAACACTGATCGAGATGTTGATCTATGCCAGAAACTATGATGCGGTTTTGCCTCTTGCCCTGGGGTAGATTTTGTCAGGCTGCACGAAGAGAAAAGGCCATGCAACATTTTGGCGCGGATCGCAGCCGTCAACCGGGCGCCGTTGGAGAACCCAACATGCTTTGGGTCTCCCCCAAAACCGAAGCCACTCATCCCGCAAGCTCCCCTATCCCATGCCCGCTGAAACTAAAACCTCTACACCCTTGAATGAAGCAGCTGAAATACACAAATGCACGGGTGCCTCTCGTTGCTCGTGGGAGGTGCCATTCTCCAGCTCGAAGGCCAAGTAAGCGCCCCAGGCCTTTACTTTGGGGCTTTGCGAAGGGGGTCTTGCAGAGAGTTTAATGTGCATTAGGCTTTTGTGAGGGTTCTTGGATTATCAAATCTAGGAGACCCTCTAAACCGCACCCAAAATACTACCAGATATCTGGGTTTGGAAGACGGCTTTCTGCAGTGCGTTTGTTGCTCTTGTGCGCCTGAGATTGTGGTGTTTACTGGGAGGGCGCTTCTTTACTATTTCATTGTTTAATGCTTGCCGCATAGAAAATCCCAGCTGTGCTTCTCGTGGGGTGCATGGCTAGGGACGTATGTCAAGTTGTTTTTGATGACAAGTTCTATTTTGGATCTTGCAAAGAGAACACGAATGAGCCGAAGTGAGATATCGGCAGGCTCTGTCGTTTCTTGGGTTCAACAACGCAAGAATTCCCATGAAGATCTGAAAGGCCCTTTCGTTCATGGTTGTGAATAGATGGAAGGCATTGTCTGGTGAAGTGTAGGAATTTCTTGTGCGTCACTCAGAGTACCCAAAGCGATGTCTGACTGAGATTGAGAGTTCCGTATGAATGAACAAGATCATTCAATCTCTTTCATCACTTTCTTAGAGATTCATGATTCAAAACATGGCTCTTTAAGGGGGGGAAAGCAATTGTCTTCCTTAAGAAAGGAAATCAAGAGGGGGTTTCTTTGCATGTTGCGGAGAGTGCCAGAAAGTGTCGCACTTCTTGTTGATTTCTTATTCAAGGCGATTCGCAAAAAACAGAGACGCTTCATTTCTTCTTAAACACTATGGACTTAACTCTCATGGCAAGCACGAGCAACTTCTTCATTCGTGAGAATGAGTGGAAGGTGGTGGCCAGTCTCTTGTCTTTCATGTACAGAAACACATAGAGGTTGTGAGCAAAAAACACGCATTTGCAAGGATCCATGACCTTTGAGCACTCTGAAAGTCTAATAGGAAAGCAACCAAAAAAAGCAAAACGACGATTGAAGCGAGCGCCCTCCCAATTTTGCCCCTGATATCCCTCTGAACACCCCGCACGTCAAGGAGCCATTCAATGACACCAGCCATAGCACCCTACCCGATGCCTTTGAGAACCTCTTGAATGACAGCGTCCTCCTTTAAAAGCCACCCTAAAGACCAAAATCGAAGATTTTTGTTTAAATAACAAATTGAACCTAAACCCAAAGACCCCTAAATTTCACGGCTATAGATCGAAAACTGCCTGCCTGTTGGCAACCCCTACCTGGCCATTGTCACACAATAAAAGGCTAGACACACTGATCTGAAGACCCTAAACCCTAAACCCTACACCCTAAACCCTAAACCCTTGGCATGTGAAGCTCAGCTTGCGGCGTCGCCCAGCCTCGGGTTCAGGGTCACGGCCCGGTTGAACCTGAGAGGCCAGACATGAGGGAGGGCCCGTCAAGGCACTTGATACTTAGGGTTTAGGGTTTAGGGTTTAGGGTTTGGGGAAACCTAGTCATGTCTGAGGCACTCTCACGCTTGATCGTGTATTTCCCTCTATGTTGGAGAAAACTTGTGTTTTTGTGTTTCAACATCGAGGTGGAAGGATTGAGGCCGGCAGCATATTGATGAAAGGCAGCATAGCGATAGGCAACAGGACCAGAGCAAGAGTTGTGTTGCTTGCTAGCCTGCTGTTGCAGGACACACACACAGTTGCACACAGTTGGGACATTTCGAGCTTGGCAGTTTTCCCAATTTTATGTGCCTGCCAGGAAGGAGAACAGCAGCCCACACGGAGGAGTTCATTCCCAGCCCATTGTCAGCAATTGAAAACCCTGCACTCATGGATCGTTATCTTCAGCAATCTCGGCAATCTGCAAGTGGCATATAAACAACATAAACCCAGCCATTAAACCCCAGTGTTTGTCTGCAAGTCATCCACCTTAGTAGGGAACTCATTCATTGAGTTGCAATGTCCCTCAATATCTTGATCCCCCAAGCCCCTGAAGCCTGAGCTGCCTACTAGGATCCCTCTTTCTTAAGGATCCCAATAGCCTTGGTAGCCCATTAACCATATTATGATAGGGGTACCCGTTTTGGTGTTAAGTACTCTGAAAAGGGAACCCAGAACCCAAGAAGGGCGAAAGGGTACCACTCAGCTACCAAGAACATCAGGCTTCTTCCCGTCCAGGAGGCAGGATTTCTCTTGCCGACACCACGAAGAACTGAGCTCCATGCCACTTTCTCGCCTTGGCGTTCTTTCCATCACGCCAGAAAAGCTTCGCCACCGCGATGATCACATGCCTGCCAATCAGCTGGCACCCCCAAGCCCCCGACGCAGCTAAAGTATCTGTCAAGTCATAAAACTGTATCTGTTAAGTTTGTGAGTGTGTTGCCTTGGAGACTCTATGAGAGCAAAATAAACTAAAAACCTGACATAAACCTGAAATATTCCTGACCCCCGAGCCCGCCCCTAAAACCAATCCTGAAACAAACTTGAAAAACCTAAAAGCAACCTGAAAAAAAACCTGAAACAAACCTGAAAAAAAGCTGAGAAAAACCTGAAACAAACCTGAAAAAAAGCTGACAAAAACCTGACAAAATCCTGAAAAAAAAACCTGAAAAAAAACCTGACAATCCTGAAAAACCTGAAAAAACCTGAAAATCTTGAAAAATCTGAAAAAACCTTTAATAAACCTGAAAAATCTTGAAGCAATCGGGGAGGCAGGTCTATTTTCAGAATAATTTCCGCTTTTCTGAGGATCGCGAAATGGTGGAGGCAGCTTTTTTCAGGTTTTTGCCAGCTTGCTTGGAATCGGCGAAATATGAAAGCAGGTTTTTGTCAGGCTTTTTTCAGGTTCATTCCAGGAATGCCGAGGAACAGGGGGGCAGGTTCCTGGTAGGTTTGTTTCAGGCTTTTAATTGGGGAGGTTTCATAGTCCCCACGAGCCCCACACTGTTAAGTCATAAAACTGTTCACACCACATTCTCGTCAACTGGCAGTTGCCCCCCCCCCCCCCCCCCCCCCCCCCCCCCCCCCCCCCCCCCCCCCCGCCCCCCCGCAATTGCATCCTAAGCCTCCGGGAAAGCCACCAAACAAAAATGGGGAAATGGGGGTTCAACATGCCAAAGTCTGCTCTCGAACTGTTGCTTTTCTGGTCGCATCAAGAAATCCCAGAGTCTCCTCTCGCGAAGCTTCAGGTCACATGCAGCTACTGGACTCCCCGCAAAAAAAAACCATTCAAAAGGGAAACAATGCTAAAAGGCCAAAAGGCTAGGTGCATCATCTAAGGGAGTGCCAGTAACCGGGCAATGCCGTCGCTCGACTACCTTTGCCTTGCTTCGCACTTGGAAAGGGTTGTCTGAGCCTGCTGTTCAACTGCTGTTCAACCAACTTTTTGCAGGGTCATGTGTGCTACATTGGTACAGGCAAAGATGCTCAACTTCCCACCTTGGAAAGCAGGTGGTTTCCCTTCGTTGCAATTCTGGCTACATTTGCTTGAAGCATACGTACTCTTGCAACTGAGTTTGAAAACTAGACTACGTGCATCATGGTTTCCGGAAGTCCAGAAGCATTCAGAAGAAATTGCCTGACATCTTCTTGCAGGTGCTTCTGTTCCTTGCGTTCCTGCTTGCCCAGATTACCAGCATCCAAGCTTGTTTTGAATCATGCCCCCCCCGCGCGAGAATTCAGTTTCTTCTCTCTACATTTTGCTCACTTAACTTCAGCCTTTGTTCCTCTTTCATCTCGTTTCCTTTGCGTGTCTTGTTTGCTTGCGACGTGATGCGCAATAAATGAGGCGCTACATGGAGCCTGCGCCCTAGGCGGCTGTGGGATGGCGTGGGGGTAGAATAGAAATGCTGGCAAAAGGGGTGCGGGAGCTGGGAACAAACTTGAGGTCACTTATTGGCCCTCTTTCGGACATGGACATGTCATCTGCAGCGGGGGCACGCATCGTTCTCGCATTTCTTCAGGGCATCGACGCCTGCAAGCTCAGCAGGGATCTTTTGAATCTCGAGTTGTCTGTTTACAAGTTGCTTAAAGTTCAGCTCCTTCTTCAAGGCATCTGCCTAGCATCTTTAGGGAGTGGATCAAGGGACTTCGTAAAGTAGCAAAAACCCACACAATGGCACCGCGGGGGATGGAGCTCTTTTCGCTAGAGAGGTAGGAGAAGCTCTCGTTTAGAGGTCAGAAGGAAGCCAAGGCCCACAGCCTCCGCTTGCAGCCATGCCGTCTGCCAAGCCCTATAAACGGGTTTAGGGTTTAGGGTTTAGGGTTCAGGGTTTCTGAAAATCAAGATACCGAATCGGTAAGCTCAGCAAGGTCGAAGGCCCCTGTGGCCCAAATCCATACATTCACTGATCTTAAGACTGCAAAAACAAGATCAAAGCCACACCAGGCGCCCTTTGTCTCGGAGGCTTGAAATCTCCTTAACAGGGTCCTGATCATGTCAGTGCTGACTCTGGGCGAAACCAAGCAGAAAGGCCATTGAAGCATCCCAACACCCGAAGAACCAAATTCCCCCGAACCTACTTCGGCAAGACATGCCTAAACCCTAAACCCTAAACCCTAAACTCCAAACCCCAAACCCCAAACCCCAAACCCTAAACCCTAAACCCCAAACCCCAAACCCTGCCCAAGCTCCCCGCTCTTGGCGTTTTGGCCCTGCTTCGGCTCCAGCTCAATAGCCTGTGACAGTCTCAGCTTGGAGGGTTTCATGGTACATATTAACCAACATAACTGTACTTATAGCCCACTTATAAGCCCCCTAAATGCCACACTATGGTTATAAGTACAGATATCAGTACAGTTAGAAGATTGGTTAATGTTAAAGAATAGTGAAGCTCCCCATGTGGGTGTTTCCCAAGCTAAGCACAGGGGTATCCTTCATATACATATACCTCAAGGTCAGTCTAGCCTGCTGGGCTTGAATATTCGAATCAAAGACTTCGGGTTTGTAGCAACCGCATGGCGTAGGGAAGACGGCGAATTTGGAGCGAGAACTCTGATGCTGGAGGTGAATGTCATGTGTTGACATGGCCGCCCCTGAGATCAAGAGATCGGGGGTAGGAGGCCACTTCACAGGACTCTGCTGTGCTGTGCCCCCTCTTGGTTCTGCTGCCTTCTTGGCCCCCGAAACCCTGCGGCCTTGGCCCAAAGCATGCCGCTAGTAGGGCACTCCTGGACATGGAAGGACACAAAGTCCCCACAAGAAAGTATTGGGTGTTTGCTTGTTGTACTTATTCTTCTGACTATTATTCTTATTATTAGTCTTATTATCATGTCATGTTTCTTCTGGCGGGGTTGGAAAGTTGTAGGATTTGGTGCAAAGATGCGAGGGTGAGATTTCCAGGACCTGGGATAGACCTGCCTCCCGGGCCTCAAACTTCAAAAGGCCTTAGAGGCTTTAGGGTTTAGGAATTAGGGTTTAGGGTTTAGGGTTGTATGTCAAAGGGCACCTCTGCTACCACTGCTGCGACGACTGCCACGACTGCTACCATTACCACGACCACGACCACGACTACGACGACAACAACGACAACGACCACCACTACTACTACTACTACTACTACTACTACTACTACTACTACTACTACTACTACTACTACTACTACTACTACTACTACTACTACTACTACTACTACTACTACGACTACTACGACTACTACTACGACTATTACTATTAAAACTACGACAGCTACGACAGCTACTCAAGCTACTAAACCTACTTAAGCTACTAATGCTACTTAAGCTACTAAAGCTCTAAAACTACTCAAACTACTTAAACTACTAAAACTACTAAAATACTAGAACTATTGAAACAAAAACTACTACTGCTACTACTGCTGCAACTACTACTACTACTACTACTACTACTACTACTACTACTACTACTACTACTACTACTACTACTACTACTACTACCACCACCACTACCACTACCAGACAACTACCAGACAACTACCAGACAACTACCAGACTACTACCAGACTACTACCGCCACTACTACCACCACCACCACCACTACTACGACTACTACTACTACTACTACTACTACTACTACTACTACTGCTACTACTGCTACTGCTACTGCTACTGCTACTGCTACTGCTACTGCTACTGCTGCTGCTGCTGCTACTGCTACTACTACTACTACTGCTGCTACTGCTACTACTACTACTACTACTACTACTACTCCTACTACTACTACTACTACTACTACTACTACTACTACTACTACTACTACTACTACTACTACTACTACTACTACGACTACGACTACGACTACGACTACGACTACGACTACGACTACGACTACGACTACGACTACGACTACGACTACGACTACTACTACTACTACTACTACTACTACTACTACTACTACTACTACTACCATTACCACTACCACTACCACTACCACTACCACTATCACTATCACTATCACTACCACCACTACTACCACCACTCCTACTCCTCCTGCAGGAGCTGCTCCTGCTCCTGCTCCTGTTCCTGCTCCTGCTACGCGGACGCGAATCTGTCCCAGGCTCCTGCAGCGCTTTGCTCATCAGGTGGTGAGAAAGGCGTTCCGAGCCATCCAGGAGCTCGACCTTCCGTTGTCTCAAAGCTTGCATGGGTTTAGGGTTTAGGGTTTAGGGTTTAGGGTTTAGGGTTTAGGGTTTAGGGTTTAGGGTTTAGGGTTTAGGGTTTAGGGTTTAGGGTTTAGGGTTTAGGGTTTAGGGTTTAGGGTTTAGGGTTTAGGGTTTTCGTTTGGGGTTTCTCAGTTGTCCAGGAGCCTGGGTGAATTAAAGGCTACCCTTTGGGACTTGAAAGGGATTAGAAGACCCCAAAAAGGTTAAGGTGCGACGTGTGCACTAAAGGTTACCTACTCTACTACTAAGCTTTTGGGTTTAGGGTTTGGGGTTGTTCCCGGCATTCGATGGGCTGGGGTGCTTTGGGGCTTCTTACTCGGTCTCCCACGGCGGCTTAGAAGCTCAGGGTGGTTTGAGAGGCGCTTCGCTTTCAACGTCTGTTCGGCTGCAACGGTTACATAAAGGTTGTCGGGACAAGCCTAGGTTTGGATCACTTTGGGTGGAAAAGGAAATGGAGATCTGCAACAATTAAGCTTAGAGAATTCACCGCAAGTACCTTTTCCAGTATCGGTATCATGCAACCGAAACCCAACCTTCCGTGTCACACACACACACACACCCACACTGATTGACACAGGTTGCTTGCGATGAGCCGTGGGCTTGTTGGGCGTGTATCCAAGAACCCCCTATAAGAAACCAGCTGCAAGGTCACAACCTGGCTTTTTTTTTGGTCCCCAGAGCTGGTGCTGGCAAGGCATCTAAGGGCAAACTCGGACCAGGAACGCGCTCAGAACTGGGCTGCGCTCTGCGACTTGGCTACAAGATGCGCCTTGAGGGGTTTAGGGTTTGTAGGGTTTAGGGTTTAGGGTTTAGGGTTTAGGGTACGGTAAGGGTTTAGGAAATCCCAGAAGCGTACACAGGTCCTACGCTGCCAGACCGGCATCCTGGCCGAAATGACGTGAAAATGAGACGTGGATACTCCCAGATCTTAGTAGCCCAGGAACCATGTTATGATAAGGGCACCCTTTTTTTTGGTTGGTTACTTTAGAAGGGAACCCAGAACCAAAAAAAACACCTTCACCACTGGGCTACCAAGAGAACGAACGCTCGGGTCGAAGGGAGGCTGCCCTTACGATTGGCTCCACCACGAGCAGCAAACTAAACTCTGCACGGAAATCTCTCAAGGCAAGGGCGGGGCCACAAAGGGTTTAGGGTTTAGGGTTTAGGGTAATGAGGCAACAGATTGCTTGTCCCAACGAAAGAAAACTAGCACCAGCACGTTGGCCGAGCTCATTTCTGGCTGTGGTCGAGGCTTTAGGTGGTGGGCATTTTGCAATCGACCCCGCTCTCAGGTGGTGTGTGGAAATTATGCAAAAAAAGATCGGTCAACAGTAGAGGTCCTTGTGAATGCCTTGTTTGCCTTGCATTCAGACCCTAAAACCTAAAACCGAAACCCTAACCCTAAACCCTAGTCCCTAATCCCTAAACCCAAGCTCTGTGACGAGATTCCGGAAAAGCAGAGATGATAAAGCAGTTGCCACATATCCGGTGCAGCTCCTGTTCTGCACTGGGGCAAAAGGTCTGCGCATTGGAAGATGCGTGAAAACCGCTGGGGCCCCCAAAAGGGGCCAGACCAATATTTGATCATGTAAGGACATCCTGCTTCTCCCAATTCTATTCCACCCCCTTTGGACTTTTCAAGTTTCACCCTTGATACACTTCAAGGATTTCGATCCTTTGCCCGCAGACACACCCTTGAATGTCCGTCACATGCCCATGCCCAAAACGGCAGGCGAGCAGCACAGCACACATAGAGCCCTGACATTTGACGAGCTGTGCCCAGGCGCTGCAGGCTCAAAGCGGGAACACTTTGTCCGGGACCGCGATGTCGGGGCTCTCCGCCACCTGCACAGATTCGGGGTGCTGTTGCGTTTTGGAAGTACTGGAGAGTTCGACCTATTCCAGGCGAGTTCAGAGCGTCAGTTTGGCCCAGAACGACTCGCGCGATTTCTCTTTCAACATTTTTGCTGCGCTGGAGTCTTAGTGCGGTTTTGGGCGCAAGATCCCTTTGTCCGAATTGCCCCCCCAAATCCTCCTAAACCCTAAACCCTAAACCCTAAACCCTAAACCCTAAACCCTAAACCCTGAACCCCAAACCCCAAACCCTAAACCCTAAACCCTAAACCCTAAACCCTAAACCCTAAACCCTAAACCCTAAACCCTAAACCCTAAACCCAACCCGTAGTCGGCCTCTTCTGGCACGTAAGGGCTTTGGTGGAAGGAGGGCTCCAAGGTCAGGTCGAAGTCGTCCCAGGCATTCTTCTGAAACTGGGCCCCAAACTTGGGCCCACAGCGGCGGAAGCAGGTCAGCCGAATGTAAGTGCTCCGGGGGTAGAAGTTGTTGGCCTCTCTAATCCGTGTCTGAAGCTCACCTTGGTAGCCGAGGAACCATCTCATAATAAGGGTACCCTTTTTGGGGTTGCTCGTTTTTAGAAGGGAACCCAGAACCCAAAAAGGGCAAAAGGGCACCAGTCAGCTACCAAGTCACCAATTAGTACTTCTGCTTCCTGAGTTGACTTGAGAAGGGACTTTGGGTTTGGACTTGCTCGGCTTGGGCAAAACCTCTTGGGAGGCTACCCCTTATACTAAGAGTCCCATAATCCCGACTACGGACTGACAGTTTAGGAACATCCCAAAAAATCTCCCAAGTTGCAAGGGAGCTTCTTGATCTGTAATCCAGCCCTTGCTGGCGGCACGGGACAGCTGAGTCACGCGATTGTGCCTGGGTTGTTTGCTTCTCTACTATTTGCTTCAGAACTCCCCCCCAAAAAATGAACATCCCTTTATTGCCCTTATAAGGAGGATTGTTTTTGTTTATTTGTTTTTGGGGTGGGGGGGGGGGGGGGGGGGGGGGGAGGAGGTTCTTAAGCAAGTCGTAGTTATCCCGCCTCGCTGGAATCATGGCAAAACAGCTTGAACCACTTAACTTACCAGAAACGCCTTGCAGAGTGAAGACATATGAGCTCCCCCCCAAAGCCCTACCAGCATGGACCATTTGGCCTTATATCATCCCCCCAACCAACCCTATAGAGGGCCTTTTAAGGGGCTGTAGGGTATCATAGCCCATGCAGGTACAGTATGAAATAATAGAAATAATAGTAATAATAGTAATAATAGTAAAAATAATAATAGTAGTAATAATAGTAATAAGAATAATAATGTGAATAATAGTAATCATTGTAATAATTGTAATAATAGTAACAATAATAATAGTAACAATAATAATAGTAATAATAGTAATAATAGTAATAATAGTAATAATAGTAATAATAGTAATAATAATAATAGAAATAATAGTAATAATAGTAATAATAGTAATCATAGTAATAGTAATAGTAATAGTAATAGTAGTAGTAGTAGTAGTAGTAGTAGTAGTAGTAGTAGTAGTAGTAGTAGTAGTAGTAGTAGTAGCAGTAGCAGTAGTAGAAGTAGAAGTAGTAGTAGTAGTAGTAGTAGTAGTAGTAGTAGTAGTAGTAGTAGTAGTAGTAGTAGCAGTAGTAGAAGTAGAAGTAGAAGTAGTAGTAGTAGTAGTAGTAGTAGTAGTAGTAGTAGTAGTAGTAGTAGTAGTAGTAGTAGTAGTAGTAGTTGTTGTTGTTATTACGATAGTAGCAACAATAGCAATAACAGTAATAGTAGTAATAATAGTCATAAGACTCTATGTAGATGGCCAAGGGGCAGGATGATCCGCAGTGCCATCCCATGCTTGCTGAAGAAAAATCGTAGGGGCATCGTCTCTGCCAGGATGACCAGGTCCGCGCGGGCGGTGGCGATGACTCGGTTGATGCACTCCACGAGGGCTGGGTATCGTTCCTTGGGATGACACGATTCCGCATGATTATTATTACGATTAGTACTATTATTACGATTAGTACTATTATTACTATTAGTACTATTATTACTATTATTACTATTATTATTACTATTAGTTCTATTATTACCATTATTACCATTATTACTATTATTACTATTTTTACTATTATTACTATTATTACTATTATTACTATTATTACTATTATTACTATTATTACTATTATTACTATTATTACTATTATTACTATTATTACTATTATTACTATTATTACTATTATTACTAAACTCAAGAAACCCGAAGCCCTGCAGGCCATCACGAAAATACCCTGAGATGTTCAACATCAGCACCCTCAACATTCCAACGACTCGAGGTTCGATGGAAACCGAAGTCCCCAGCAGTTCCTCGTGTGTCTCGATGAAGGCCCACCTTAGTTGCCCAGTGGCCTAGAAAACAGGGATTTAGTACCCCAGAAAGGATAAATAGAGGTAGTGGCGTGCCCAAAAAGGTTAAAGGTTATCTTACTCTACTACCAAGCCACAGTGTTTCAACCTTTGCCTTGGCAGTGTGGTAAGCGAACGCCTTGGCTGCGGAGACCTTTTCGGCCACGCGATCCAGTATGGTGCTGTGGCCGACGTATTTCCTTGGTTCGTCGTTCCTTTAAGGACCCGAGAGGGCTAAGAAAAAGCAACGCGCCGCTCAAAGCGCCATACTCTTCTACAGCTTCCTGCTACAAAATCTGCAGGGGCTCGAAAAGTTTGACTTCCGACCCGCCCCAAGCGTCCACAAATAATTGCGCCCGGTCCCCATCCTGAACATCAGGCTAAAAAACGAAGAGTTCGATATGGGGGGGGGCAAAGGGTCAACAGCATCAAAAACATTTTTCCTCTACTTGTACCAGGGAATGTTTGTCTCCCTTCATGTTGGATGGGTCTGCCGGCGAGAGGGTCTCGGGCACGTGCAAAACGAGAGGTTCGTGGTTCGATGTTTTTGATGCGCATTGTGGCCAGGTAAAGCGTCTCAGGGCACGCGGAACAGCGATCTCCTGTGCATGCGTGCGCCCTGCACGGATGGCCTCACAGTGAATGTACGAAGACCATGGCGCAAGCACTGTTTCGGGAAAAGCGCTCTCAAATCTTGCTCGGGCTTGGCGTGGCTTCTTCAGAGACGGCGGTGGGTTGGCGGGGCCGGCCGCAGCTAGTACCCCCCACCCAAGTAAAAGTTGCTTTTGCTCATGAATGCCTTCGGTGTAAACGAATTTTCTGTGTTCAGTGGGTGTAGGGTTGCCTCAAAAGCGTGTCCTTTACAGAATTTAGGGTCTAGTTTGCTACAATGCTCCGCATTAGATTTGGGGTTGCCTTACTTCCTTCCTTGCCACCTTCAGTCCCTAGCTGATTTTTGATACCCATGGCCCGTCAATGGGGAAAAAGAGATAATGATAAAAATAAGAATAATAATTTTGGAATTCCAAAGCGTCTGAAGGCACAAGTACTCGATCAGGATGGGCTGCAAGATGTCCAGAAGCCTCTGCTGCTTGCAGCGTTGAGGCTTTTTGTGAGCAAGAACAGCTCCAAAATCCAAACCAATCCAGGGTAAACTCAAGCGGAAGCCCTCAACAAAACAATCTCCAACTCTTGTGCTGACTTACCTCGAAATGAGAAAGCCCATGTTTGAAATTGGGCCTCAATTTGCCAACATCTTTCATGCAGGCCGGTAGCAGGCTCCTACCAGCCTTCGCATGCACGGCCTTCATCTCCTCATCCATGAAATCTTCCACCTTCCGATGGCGCGCGGTTGGGGGGAGAGTTCGTTTTTTCTCCGCAGTGCGGCTTGGCTCGGCTCGCTTTTTGCTTGGGGCGTACATGATCTGAGCAACAAACTCTCTGGGGCTTCGGCGTTTTTTCTTGACAATACGCAATTCTGCTGGAGTAACCTCAAGCAGAGTTACCTCCAGCAAATCCACACATACCGTGGGAAACAAAATTCGAACCCCGACCCCTCAACACGTCAAAAGCCCACCCCGAAAGCTTGCGGAAGTTTGCTCTTCCGGGAGAACGCCAACATCAAAAGGGTGCAGGTTGTTAGAAAACATCTCTTTAATCCGCAAGTCTACACACAATTGTGCGTGCCACAACCCTCGGAAACGAGCGCAACTTCCCTGACAAGGGTCGCATTCCAGCAACACAACGCTTTCACACTTGCGGACTATCCAGCAAGATGTAGAGTGAAGGAAGTGCTGACTAGTGTAAGGAGGGAAAACCAAGCAACTTCACACATCCCTACCTGAAGGCATAAAGGCGCATCAATCGGCATCTTGCTCATTCTATGGCTGCAGGCCTGCAAGCCCTACCTCCACACACTATGCTACAAGTGCTACAAGCTGCGCTGAGCCCCAATGTTCTTGACAAAACGTCTTCCAAACATCCACTTGAAGCTGAACATCTAAATGTTCAGGATAATTGAACATATACTCCCGGTGGAACCTTAATAAGAACATCATTTTTAATATCCTCTTGGGTTTTATATTATCAAAAAACTCCCAAGGGGAATATAGCAACCCTAAACCCCAAACCCCAAACCCGAAACCCTAAACCCTAAACCCCCAAAGCTTGCCAACACCAGGTTGAACAACAGGAACTTCATCCTACCTCTGGAGTAGACCCAGAAAAAAAAGTATATACTTTTTAGGTATAAGTAGCTATAACGGGAACCCAAAAACCAAAAAAAGTGTTAAAGTATAGTACTCCAAAGCCCAGTCATCAACCTTGGCATCATGGCACGAGCCAACTTTGAAAGAAGGAGCCCTTTCACAAAGCACCTGCTAACACCAAGACCATGACCCTGGGGGGGGGCCTAAACCCTAAACCCTAAACCCTAAACCCTAAACCCTAAACTCTAAACCCTAAACCCTCAACCCTAAACCCTAAACCCTCAACCCTACCCTAAACCCTAGAGAGGGGCCCTCTCGCCAGCCTGCCGCGAGTTGAGCTCCTGCGTCGCGCAGTCTGTGGCCTCGTCCACGGCTGCCATGAGCCAGCTATAGGCCTGGTGGTTTAGGGTTTAGGGTTTAGGGTTTAGGGTTTAGGGTTTAGGGTTTAGGGTTTAGGGTTTAGGGTTTAGGGTTTAGGGTTTAGGGTTTAGGGTTTAGGGTTTAGGGTTTAGGGTTTAGGGTTTAGGGCCCAGAGGCGAGGTCTCTGCGGGGATCAAAACAGGCATAACAGATCTTTTGCAGGGCAACCACAGGGGGACCAAGGATTTCGGTCGCTTTGCACGGATTGGAAACTTCAAGCGGGAACGTTCGTGTGAAAAAACCCTGAGTCAAACACACAAAACACACTCGCTGTATCTTGCTGTTGCGTTGCGTTGTGATATTTGGGTCCCCCCAAGCCATTGAAAAAAAGCTGAGCCAACCAACCGCGAAGGCAATCAGCTTCGTGCCTCACTGAAAAGCCAAGCACGTCTTTCAACAATCAACGGACTGCTGGGGTGATAGTGTACCATGCTATGTGGGTCTCGTGTTGGTTGGCCTTGTTCCCCGTCGAACGTTGCTAGAACGGCATCCAGCTGCGAGAAAGTGCGACTGCTACATCTTGTCGGATTGGGTTGGCGAGTGCTCTTCTGCCTGGGGGGCCCGGGTCAGTCTAGATGCAAAATTGGTGCATCGCATCGGCACTCGCTGCGTTGAGTGTTCCTTTATTTCGCGCCGAAACTAATTCATATCAAGATGTGTGATGATGTGTGTATGCCTATTGAAGATTGGTGGCTTCAGCTAGTGGCTCCACAGTGGCTGGGTTCTTCTTGCGAGATCTGAAGCTCACTTCCATGTGAGAAGCGAAGCAAGATTGTTGACTAGTGCGGACAACAAGTCAGTACTTCGTCAGTAGTAATGCTGGACTGCAGGTTTTGAGCTCTACTTGTTCGGCTTGCGGGCAGCTCACCCAATCTGAAGCGTAAGTCGTGTGGAGTACTCTCTTCTTTCATGGATCTTTCGCTTTTTAAGTCACCTCAACAGGTCATGTAAAGTATTCACCAGAAGACACGCCGCTAGAATGCACAAACTTGTTCAACCCACTGCTTTCCGTCATGTTCGTGAGTGAGCTGGGTCCGAGTTATTTCAACCACAGAGACCCATCCTACTCCCCTCTTGCAATCTTGCATCCGAGTGGAAAGAGACTATTACTGCCTGCCTGCATCCGAAGAAATGCTACGAACCTAAACCCTACACTCCCCTTAGAACCTTAAAAAAGCACTATCTTAAATATCCTCTTGGGTTTTATATAAACAAAAATTAAGGGTTTTATATAAACAAAAATAGAGGGTTTTATATAAACAAAATTTATATAAAAAAAAAAAAAAAAACAAGGGGGATGTAGTATAGACCATACAAAGCCTGACTTCCGACGAGACCGTGGTCGAACTTGTCCTGGAAGCTTTTGCGGATAGCCTTAGCAGCACTGGTTTAGGGTTTAGCGTTTAGGGTTTAGGGTCCCAAAAACTGAAAGCGCATGACCTAGATGCAGACTTCACATCCCAACCCTTGATCCCGACTTTATAGTGAAAAAAAGCTGTACGCGTAAACCAATGGCATGGGAGACTTTTCATAAACTGCCTCTTATTCTCTATAACAAGCCACTAGATTTTGGACCCGAACGGCTTGTGCCTGCCTAACTTCCACAGCAACAACCGCAAAAAAGAAAAAAAAAACGCCCAAACTAGCAAGCAACTGCTCCAAGAAGGCGATATCAGAACCATGCCTTATCGAAGCCCAGCCTCAATTCAAAGCACTTGACCCTAAACCCTAAACATCCCTAAACCCTAAACCCTAAAAACCCTAAAAGCCCTAAAAACCCTAAAAACCCTAAAAACCCTAAAACCCTAACCCCCTGAAGCTTCGTAAGGGACATTGAGCAGCACCCGGAAGAAGCTGTTGATACTTTGGCTGTCCGCGTGCGGGCGCGGCTCGAAGAGCAATGTGAGACCTGGGCGCCATTGTGGTGCGCACTGTTTTTGCATGCGTTTAGGGTTTAGGGTTTAGGGTTTAGGGTTTAGGGTTTAGGGTTTAGGGTTTAGGGTTTAGGGTTTAGGGTTTAGGGTTTAGGGTTTAGGGTTTAGGGTTGCATTAGCATGCATCCGAACCCCAACTCAAAATCCGAGGAACAAACCCTCAAAACGCTGCAACCGCTAAGGCCAAACATTCAGACTCAAATGCTCTGACATACTGCTCTGACATACCAACTGACCAGACGTGGACCCCCGAACCCCAAACCTGGGAAAGACTCGCAACCTCATAAACCTCAGAGAGCACTCTAAATGCGCTGAACCCTCAACAGCCCCCACCTTACTGTTGGTTAGCAGGAAATCAGGGAGTTAGGGCCCTTTCTATACCCTTTTAGGCATACAGGGTACCTCATTCCCCCATTCCCTACTAACCAACAGGCCCACCTGGAGGAACGTCTCCCTTGGGAAGTTTGCTTCCCGTCGAGAAGAAAGAGTTCGATCTCGATACTGGCGTGTCCACCGAGTGGAACTGGATGGCCAGGAAGACATGGTTCAGCCTCCGGTGTTTCTATTTTTGGAGCCTTTATAATTAGAATAGGGTTTTTGGGGAGATTTATAAAGGGGCCATAAGGGAATACTAGTAATTATTCCGACCCCTCCAGTGCAGGTTTCCTTTTACTAGGAGATCGCGGGCTGCGCAGAGGCTTTGCGCTGGCTGCGCTGGTTGCGTTGTCGGGTGCGTGGTACTTTCTGGGCCTTTGGATTGCTTGTCGGGATTTCTTGGGGCAATTCATCTTAGAACCAGGCTTTCCCTTTCCCCGCGCTCTCAACCTTGAACCAGGACACGAACCAGGAACTCCTGTAAAGCCTGTGGGTTCGGGTCAGGGTGGGTGAGTGTAGGGCTACGTAGGTGCGTGTGGGTGCGGCGGGCGGGGAAGTAGCATCGCGCTAGACTGGAATGTGGATGGATAGTTGGGGGTAGCCCAAGGGGGGGAGGGTGGCGACAAAACCGAGGAATATGCCGGCTTCGCCGGCACGGGGCGGGGGAATGGTCCAATGGCAAGGGCAGTGGAGAATCAAGAAAAAACATGGGGAAAAAAATAGAGCGCAGCCCCTTCCTGTTTATAGGGCAATTCGGGAACAAAGTGAAATGAATGAAACGTTGTTCTTGTAGGACTGAGTCACATCCATGGCGATGTGCGCACGACCTGCCTCTCGACTGCACCATTCTTCCTTAGCTTGCACTTAGCTTGCACTTAGTTTGCACATGTATCCGGTCCAAACGCCCAAAGTGAGCGTTTGTGGGACTTTTGACCAGCAAACTGGTATAGCTGCTTGTAATAGTAGGTTTCTTGAAGCGGGCACCCCATTGCACCCCCAAACACCAAACCACCAGCCGACTAGCCTGCATTGGGCTTGGACTCACAAGCCTCTCGGAAACTAAACCCTAAACCCTAAACCCTAAACCCTAAACCCTAAACCCTAAACCCTAAACCCTAAACCCTAAACCCTAAACCCTAAACCCTAAACCCTAAACCCTAAACCCTAAACCCTAACCCTAAACCCTGCACCCTAAACCCTGTGTCGACTCCGCCAGCGACCGCACAAACAAGGACCAAACGTAAAAATTGGACCTTCGAGCTTCTGCCAGGAAAACACCAGCTCCGTGATCGGGGAGTTCTGCGAGCCGTTGGACAGGATGGTGACCTCATCTATACTCCCCTTAGAACCTTCATAAACATTACTATTTTGTAATATATCCTCTCTTGGGTTTGAGAGAAACGCAGATCATTCCCTTTAAGGGGGATATAGAGTCATTCCATGCCGAGCGAAGGTCTTTGAATTGGCAGGGCCTTTAAAGCTTGTGCTGTTGAGCACGAAGCTCACTGACACCGAGAACCCTGACGCCATACCCAAATTTCGCAAAGGCATGGGAGACCACCGTCGACACGTGTCTTTGCATGTGGGCACACCTCGAGTTTATTTTGCAAGTTCATGATGGCAGATGTTTTTGGGACTTGCTGCTCAAGAGCGAATCTTCCTCTCACCGTGCCCCCTCGCACTAGCCCGTCGTCATGACGAGCTGCTGGGCTCCATGCCCCACCACACATCCCCCCCCCCCAACAGAGCGAAAAACCCTAAACCCTAAACCCCTAAACCCCTAAACCCCTAAACCCCTAAACCCCTAAACCCCTAAACCCCTAAACCCCTAAACCCCTAAACCCCTAAACCCCTAAACCCTAAACCAGTAATCAGGGACCCTTCAGCCTTCAGCCTTCAGCTCGAGCCGCGATGGCACCATGAGGGACCGCCGACAGCCGCTCCTCCAGCCTGTGGAGTCCCCCCCGGGTTTAGGGTTTAGGGTGTAGGGTGCAGGGTTTAGGGTTTAGGGTTTAGAGTTTTCTATATGAGGCCTTATTCGCCCTAACCAACCCCATAAAGGGCATGCTTAAGGGGTTAGAGGGTATATATGAGGCCTTACTAATGCCCCTGCCCAACCCCATAAAGGGCCCTTGTTCAGGGGTTTTGTAGGGTATAATCGCCCATGAGATGGCGGTTTCCGAAATTAGGGCGGGTACCTTCTGGGAGTCCTCATTATAAAGGAATCGCAGTAGTTGGGGTTTGGTAAACCCCCAGATGTCTAAGTTGCTCTTTAAGAGTCTTTGAATTGCATTCAATAGAGATTGGCTTTGCATGTTAAGTCCTTCTAAGTGCTTTTCTCTCGTCAAGAACCCCTGAGTGCAAACTCTGCAATCTTTCCAAGCTAGAGTCAGCTAGAGTTACGAGCAGCTGATCTAAACCCTAAACCCTAAACCCTAAACCCTAAACCCTAAACCCTAAACCCTAAACCCTAAACCCTAAACCCTAAACCCTAAACCCTAAACCCTAAACCCTAAACCCCTAAACCCTAAACCCTAAACCCTAAACCCTAAACAGACAAGGCCCGGCAACTTGACGGAGCCGCTATGCAGCGCCCCTGTGGCGATGTCAAGGCAAGCCACGTTGTGGCCTGCAGCTCAGGGGCAAGTGATCAGACATTACTTAGGGTTGTGGGTTTAGGGTTTAGGTTTTAGGGTTTAAGGTTTAGGGTTTAGGGCTTAGGGTTTAGGGTTTACTACTATTTGCTTAGGAACCCCAAAAGAATGTAATCCCTATATTACCCTTAACGAGGAAGAAGTGTTTTTTTTTTTTTTTTTTTTGGGGGGGGGGGGGTTCTTAAGCAATTCGTAGATTACGGGTTCAAATCCAGGCTCGTTGACGATGATCAGAACTCCAAAAACGCACGACTTTCACTGACCACCCTAGAGAACGTCCTTCTGAAGATTCTCGGGCTGAAGGTTTCTATTGGGCTTGCAGGGCATAGCGGCTTGGGATTCCCTCGCTCTAACGCCCACTACACACCCTCTAGGTTTGGTCAAACAAGCTCTGACAACGCCCGGTTTGTTCTTACCCGGCTCACACTTGATTGATTCTATCCAGGGGCGCTCGGTGAAGTGCCTGTCATCGATCTTGAGCAACACTAGAAACAGTGCTCATCTGTGTCATACGCCCCAGACGCCGAATGAACCTTTTACCAAAGTCTACCATGGGGGGTTTCCGAAAATAGGGGTACCCTTTTTGGGGCTGCTTGAGGGGGATTCTATTCTATTTTGGGGCATATAAGGTGTAATCCTATGCTCGATGGGCAAACGGTCTGAGTTTGTGGCACTCTGGGAGGTAGTTGTACGACGATGTCATCTCCTGCGACAGATGTACGTGCCAAGGCACAAAGCACTTTGGTAACTCAAGAACGGCAAAGTCGGGCAACTTGTCTAGATCTGCACGATGCTCGAACTACCGTAAGCCTCAAGAAGATTGAGGAAGATTGATCTTCCGGCTCTAGAGTAGAATGCTGCAGATGCTCCAGTCACCAAGAATTGAAGTAGGGCGGTGTGGTTGCAGGAGCTGCTTTGGTGCTGCTTTGACCGGCTAAGTAGACCACCCTCCTCTTCTGGCCACTTGGCATCCGTCATGAGGCCCACAAAGATGCCTCGGAGGCTGCAGATACAAATGACTAGCAATTGACTCGCATTGACTAGCAATTGACTAGCAATGACTGGTGGGATGGTTTTCCAGATGGTTTTCCAAAGCCCGTCTGGACCGTCGACTCCGTGGAGATATCAGAACTTCTTGGGGTCTTCACAAGACTCTTGGTCCCGAGACACCCGCCACATCCAAAACCACGTCCCTCGTGTAGGTGTGTGAAATTGAAAGAACACGGATAGCACAATGCAAACTCCGCACCCTGCAACCCACAACCGGGCGGCTGAAGTCTGTAACCTTCCCCTGCTGAGGGCTCAAACGTTCCAGGCTTTGGCTTAAGGCGGTGCTTCGAGCTCTCGGCGATGCATTTTTTAGAGCCCTAAACCCTAAACCCTAAAGGATGTGTGCTTTGACGTCTCCTCGCACCCATACGCGCTTCGAAGCAGAGACGCGCGAGCGGGCTCTCGACGTCACCTTCACCGAGACGCAATATGGCCTGGGCTCAGACTTGGTTGAGGTGGATGCCGGTAAGCAGTAGGTAGAACAACCTAGGCTTAGAGAGTTAGCCAGCATCAGAGGTGCCGGAGGGGTGAGTAGAAGGAGCCCCAAAAGGCTCGAAAATTCTCTAAGATCGTGCACCTTAAGCCCTTCCATGCCTATCTCAGAGCATCTGAGTCGCTTTGACTCACACAGCGCCACAAGCGACTGAGCCGAGATGAAGGTTCCAGCCCTGCTGTCCACCTGGCCGCAGACGTTTTCTGAGTTTTTTCGTCTCGTAAGGGAGTAGACCGCATGAAGCAGAACAGTCCCTTGTCCCTTGTGAAAGACCTCTTATGCATGGGGGAAAAAGCGCCACATTGGTCATGGTTCGTGGTTGTTTTGGTTGTTCAGGGTCGTGCTGCGCTGTTCTTCGACTGCTTGTGTGTTTAACAGGCTGCTTCCTTAGCGAAGTTTATCGCGCCCCATCCCTCTGCACAGCCTGCTGCAAGACACCCTCCGAGCTGTAAGCGACGTGGTCCATGAAATCATTGCGCTGCAGTTTGCCGCTGGTGTTGTGCATCAGGTCCGCCAAAATCTTCGCGCAACTGCCACGCCTCTCTAACCATCGCTTCTCAAAATTCGAGCCGATGGTGGTCACCACACCGCTGACCTTGGGGGCCAGGTCATGTGCTCACTCAGAGCCTCCAATCGTGGGATGGACACACAATGGAACCCAAAACTGCGACCTGGCCCGAAACTCCATCATTTGCGGCCTAATCACGTCTGCCTCCACAGACAGGATTCCCATAACAGCGGAAACATTGTCAATGGCATACGATGAAGGAATGCCATTCGCGTCAATCTTGATGTTGCGGAAGCAAGGCACCTTATCCCCGCAGCCTAACCGCCGCTCTTTCTTCTCCCTCTCTCTCTCCCTCTCTCTCTCCCTCTCTCTCCCTCTCTCTGTGTCTCTCTGTGTCTCTCTGTGTCTCTCTGTGTCTCTCTGTGTCTCTCTGTGTCTCTCTGTGTCTCTCTCTCTCTCTCCCTCCCTCTCTCTCCCTCCCTCTCTCTCTGTCCCTCCCTCTCTCTCTCTCCCCCCCTCCCTCTCTCTCTCTCTTATACATTATATATATATATATATATATAAGCCACTAAACCTTCAAAACCAAAACTCAACTCAGGCGCACAGCGCAGAAGCCCGTGCCATCTGACGTCCGAGAAGAACGGTTGCTTGCTCAACAGATAAGAGCCTGTTTGTCGCGATAGGTCCTACAGCGCCATGACGCGATCGAGACTAATTCAGAGCGGCAGCGGTACTCTGAAGAGGAACCCTGCGTGACACAGGATTGCGCAAAACCAACGACAATCTGAAAAGAGAGAGAAAAGAGAGAGGCAAGACACACACACACACACACATTGCTCTCCTCAATTTTGGAGAACATCTTCCGCAGGTAGATGGTGTTGTAGGGATTTGCCGGATAAACGTGCCTCAGTGTTCGCAGGACTTCCACCCAGCTGCGGAAGCCCGAACATGCTGAAACACACGGGGGCTGCGAATGAGGGAAGCACGGCGGTTTTTTGCGAGGATGCTGGATGGTGAAGACTGAAAAAGCAGTGTCAAGACCAGAACACATCGTTCATCGTTTTGGCAGCGGGGGGGGGGGGGGGGGGGGGGTGGCCAGGGGTCAGGGGCGAGGCTCTGATCTGGACACTGATATTTAGCTAGTATCTAGTCAACCAACATATCGCCTGAAGCATTGGTCCAGGAATGCCTGGCACCGCCCCTGTGGCAGCTTGCAAGGACGACACTCTCTCTCTCTCTACCTGCCTCCCTCCCTCCCTCACTCCTCTATACCGAGGTCTACCAAAGACAACAACTGCTTTTGGTTCAAAGGGGCTGTGCATCTTGACAAGTCACACTGGAAAGGCATGGCTTCTGCGAGCCAGCTGCAGCATTGAATGCACAGAACAGAACCAGAAGTCCGCGTTCTAAACAGCTTTCTCAACCCAGGCACAGCTTGTTGTAGATGGTCTCAATGGCCACGCCATTGAGAAGGAGGGTCAGGACAACGATGCCGGAGATGTGGAAGGCAATCATCTGCTTGGTGTCCTTGGGAAACCCTGAACCCTAAACCCTAAACCCTAAACCCTAAACCCTGAACCCTGAACCCTAAACCCTTAACCCTAGGGTTTTTACAGCTTGAGTCCGAAACTTTGGAGAGCAGGCTGAAGGGACCTCCCGGACCTCGGCTGCAACACGCAAACCCGGATTCCTCAGATGGAGAGGCGCTTTTACCTGAAAATACCCAACGAGCCCAATACCCCTTAATTTAGGGAAGCTTCCCTAAATCGTAACAAGGATCCCCCTTTTGTAATTTAAGCCATATATTCTTAGCTTTAATTAAGGGGAATTTGGGCTCTCTGGGTAGTCTTGCGACAGCTTCTAGATGTGGACAAGTAATCTGCTTGTGTGCGGCTCTTTCTCCCAGGATATCGACGGATGCGTCTTTTGTAGAGGCCGAACTTCGCACGTGGCCCACGTGGCCATGGAGTTTGGAACTTCAAAACTGATCCTTGCCTTATAGGAGCCCCCCAAAATGCCCTGACTCCTAGCAGTCTGTGCTTCCCTTATAAAGCCTGGAGCCCCCAAAATGCCCTGAGTCCTAGCAGTCTGAATCCCAACCCTCTCCAGTGCCTGCCCGAAAACACTTGGGCGTGGGAACCTTTTCGGTTTATTGGGGCTCCGTTTACACCGCTCCAGCAAGGTAGGCCTCATGACCTTGCAAGTCCCTGATGCGCAACAAAACGCCTTGTTGGGTTGTTGCAGGCGCTGGAGGAGGGAATGGGGGAGACTGCGGAAGCGTAGATACGTACGATGTATACGCGCATGAGCTCCAGGAGTGTCAGAGGTGTAGCTTTGCAGCTTATCTACACCTGAAGAATATCTAATACAGCACGCGCCGTCTTTGGAGTGTGTGCTTGTTAGGTTTCGGTGCTGCCGGGTCTCGTTGTCAATAAACTTGTTGTCCAAGATGATCCTCAGCACTTCATGTTCAAGGGCAATTGGGGTTTAGGGTCTAGGGTCTAGGGTCTAGGGTCTAGGGTCTAGGGTTTAGGGTTTAGGGTTTAGGGTTTAGGGTTTAGGGTTTAGGGTTGATGGCACAGGGTTGCAGCTGAGTGTGGAGACAGACACCAAAGCACACGTGCCAAACCGTCAAAAGCCCTAAGCTCTCAACCCTCAACCCTGAACCCCAAACCCCAAACCCTAAGCCCTAAACCCTAAACCCTAAACCCTAAGCCCTAAGCCCTAAACCCTGAACCCTAAACCCTAAACCCCAAAACCCAACAACATCACTAGGATCCACAGGACAGCACAGAGCAGCCAGGGGTCAGGCCCATCACCAGGGCCACCGCCCCTCTTAAGCCCCCCACGACCAGGATGATGCCCTCCTTGCAGCGGCATCTTAGGGTTTAGGGTTGAGGGTTTAGGGTTTAGGGTTCGGGGTTTAGGGTTTAGGGTTTAGGGTTTAGGGTTTAGGGTTTAGGGTTAGGGTTTAGGGTTTATTGCAGTAGGGCTCGGTATTGTCGCTGCTTTGGGGCTTGGGTCTGTGAGTCTGTGGGATGGCTGGAGGCACTTGTTGGGCTACCAGTCTACCTAGGGCCCTGTACAGTTGCCCACCATGTTGCCCATCTCAGGGTTTAGGGTTTAGGGTTTAGGGTTTAGGGTTTAGGGTTTAGGGTTTAGGGTTTAGGGTTTAGGGTTTAGGGTCTATGTTTTTCTGCTGACCAGTCATCTGCGATCATCGGGGCATGGACACTTCGGGTTCGTGCAGCAAGGGTTCCCGGCTCGCATCATGCCTTCCCATGCCTTGATCGGGTTTAGGGTTTAGGGTTTAGGGGCTTAGGGCGGCAGAGTAGAGGGGGGTAGGATTGCAGGACCTCAGAAGCTTGGTGCGTGGAATTGGACCTTGTTAAGGGGATCAACCCCCCCAAATGGCAGAACAAAAAAAGCCCAACGCATCCCACAGCCTCAAAACCCGCAGAGACCTCAGAAGGACATTAAATCACCCCAAGCAGTTGAGGGTTCTTACGGCTTAGGCCAAGTTAGCCCATATTGGCACCACGCCTTGAGGCTGAGACCGTAGCCCAGCCTGAGCTTAGGAGACTGCGCCCACGGGAGAGATTTGGGGGTTTACGATGTTCGGGGTACCTTATTGGGGTCCTTTTCTTATGAAGGGATCCTACTATTTGGGGACTATCTTGGGGGGTCCCTTATTTTCGTAAACTCCCATTTGTCAATCCACAACACTATACGAGCCAATTATCCGCCAAGACCCCCCCTTTCTCCCGAAATTCACAAATCCTTTCGGCTCGGCGCTTTGTTGGCAAAGTCAAAGAGTCCGAAGCCCGAACGCAAAGCTGAACTCTAAACCCTAAACCCAAAAAAAAATGTGCCACAGGAGCTGTCAAGACCAGGATTCGTAACCTCAAGCTGCCCAAGCTGTATATCTTGGTACCCCAGTAACCACATCAAAATAAGGGCACCCTTTTTTGGTTGGTTAATTTATAAGGGAACCTTGAACCAAACAAAAGGGAAAAAGGGCACCACTGGGCTAGCAAGATATGAAAGGGTGCCGTGCGGCAATTGATCGACGAACCCAAGGCAAGCAAAGAGGCAAAGGAGGCTTCTGATCATTGGGGGTCTGTTTCCTTTGATTTACGAGGAATGGCTGCAGGGTACCGGCAACCCTAAACCCTAAACCCTACAAGGGACTCGGTAACGACACCAAGATGCCTCCTCAGGGCCGGGGAGAAGAGAGCAATCATGATGGCACGGCTGGCGTGAATCACCTTCAAAGGGGCTTCGGCTTTAGGGTATTCGGTATAGGGCATAGGGTATAGGGTAGGGTTTAGGGTTTAGGGTTTAGGGTTTAGGGTTTAGGGTTTAGGGTTTAGGGTTTAGGGTTTAGGGTTTAGGGTTTAGGGTTTAGGGTGTAGGGTGTAGGGTTTAGGGTTTAGGGTTTAGGTGAAGGGTGTAGGGTGTAGGGTTTAGGGTGTAGGGTTTAGGGCCGAACTTCCGCTTCAAGTATACCCTGCTCCCTTCGTCAGAAACTTTCATCGCAGCCGTTGGTGGGACAGAAAGTAATGGTCTGAAAAGTTTGAAAGACTTCCTGTGATCTCAAGATCTGTTGATGCCCTAAACCCTAAACCCTAAACTCTAAACCAGCAGCTATAACACCGGCCTATGCCGCCTTTCACTTCTTCGTTTCCCTTGATGTGCAGTTCATTATTTCCCTAGAATTTGCCTTCCTCCTTCTCTTGTCTTCATCTCACTCTTGCTCTCTCCCTCTCTCTCTTCTTTCTGTCGCTTCTTATTCTCATCCGTTCTTGCCTACCTGTCTTTCTCCACCTTTGATCTCTGAATGCTTAATCACAAGCAATTGTTTTGTCCAGATGTAGCGCTTGGAGTTTCGGGCTTTGCGTTTAGGGTTTTGGGTTTAGGGTCTGGGGCTTCGAGTGTGACCATACATCCTGAAGGATAGGTTTGAGTAGTTGACTAGTATAAACAAAGAGACCCGTCAAATCATGCAGAAAGGTCCTTGCCACATAATATATATATATATATCTATATATATATATATAGATAGCCGGGCACGGGATTTAAGGCGTACCTTGGTTTTACATTAAAGAAACAGAGGTTTCTGGTGTTTAAAGGCGATTTCTTACCGGAATTGGGTGTTTACCATCAGATCAGGTGGTTAGGCTGAAATATGTAGGCCCCGCGCCCGGCATAGGTGTGTTTGGTAAGTCTTAAATGCCGTGTCGTTGGTCAGTTGTTTGGATTTCAGGGGTTGGAGTTTGTTTGGGTTGAACTAGGCTTGTAAGTGTGAGGCTCCAGGCCCAGTGGTTCGACCATACTAAAGAACCAGCATCGCAACATATCACACATCATCATCATCTTTAATACCCAGTAATAAGTTCACGGAGCAGTGCAACAGCATCGTGACAAATGCTGTCGGAGAAATGAGCGAAGCACACAGGGGCGTCTTAAATATTCGACCATATTTAAGAGCCGAACAAGAGGTAATTTGGGAGGTTTGTAATAAAAGCCTAATGAAAAACAATAGGAAGGCCTTGTCGGAGCAGAACCTGTGTTCAGTCTATAAGGACCCCAAGTAAGGCGCGAAATAGAAGGAAATGTGGACTTTGTAGACAGTCACAAGGAAATAGAGGGCGTCTTGAATCCCGCGCCCGCCTATATATAGATATATATATATACACATACATACATGTGCCGGGCAATTTGGAGCAATCGCCGATGCCTTGTGAAAGTTTGTTCAAGACCCATTGCGGTTTGGATTGTTTCCAGGATTGGGCGGGAGCAGCCCTAAGCCCTAAACCCTAGACCCTAGACCGTAGACCCTAGACCCTAGACCCTAAACCCTAGACCCTGATCCCTAAACCCCAAACCCTATAGACCCTAGACCCCACACCGGAGAAACTCAGGCCGGGCACGACGTAGATGAGGCCGAGCTCCACCCAGGCCATGCCAGAGCGGAAATCGTGGCCCGAATCGGTCTGCAAGAACATAAAGCGGGCGGTGATGATGCCTGTCACAAGTACTATTTGCTTAAGAACCCCCCCCCAAAGAAAAAAAACAATAATCCCTGTATTGCCCTTAAAAAGGAAGCATATGTTTACTCCCCACCCTCGGTGTGGGGTTGCTAGATTTTAACCTCAACTCTTTTTCTCGCCCAGTCTACTTATCCTCGCCCGGTCTGCCTAACCCTTCGGTGCCCAACCCCAAAGTGTCCAGGGTTTAGGGTTTAGGGTTTAGGGTTTAGGGTTAACCCCAAAGTGTCCCTGGAGTGCCCAAGACCAGAGTGTCCCTGGAGTGCCCAACTGCAGAGTGTTTCCTGGAGTGCCCAACCCCAAATTTTTCCCTGGAGTGCCCAACCCCCTGGAGTGCCAATCCCTCGAGTGCCCAACCCGAGAGTGCCCCTAACCCCAGATTATCTCTACCCAGAGAGGGTGGGGATGTTCGAAGCAAACTATTTTTTTGGCAGGGTTCTTAAGCAATTGGTAGACAAAGAGTGAAGAGTGAGTGAATTCGTTGTTATTGAATGTATCCTAGTTAATCCGAATAGGCAACTCGGCGCCGCACCCCCTGAAGCCAAAACACATCCCTGAGCACCTTCGAAAAGCTCAAAATGGGCCTAGGATCGATCGCTCTTGGGAATCTTCGTGGAGCTGGTTATCCATCTCAGACATGCAACATCTGCCCTATGACATTCTCACACAACCACGCTGCCCGCGATGAAGAAGATGATCTGGTTGCTGAGGTATGCAACTTGGTTGAGGCTGCATGGGAACCAAACAATTCCCTGACAGATCTGTGCCGGTCCCCGGCTTCCTGAACGTGAGCTATCTGTGGCACTGGACTAGCCTGGGTCTAGACCTCATTTTAGGGTTTCAAGTGGTTTCAAAAGGCTCCGGTTGCAGATGCTAGGAGGGCCTCTCTTTGCGTGATACAGGCGCAACTCCAAGCCCTTTTTCAGCCCTGAACCCATGCATCGATGTGCGGTGGCATTCAGTGGCCGAGACCTCGAAACGATCCCCCCTTCAACACGGTCGCAACAAACTGGCCCAAAACCGAAGTACCCAAACGGGGGGGGGGGGGATTCAACAAGCTCAGAATCCCCGTGAGTCTTGCTTCGGGTCCTGTCAGGGAATGAATCGTGCCGCCGAAGGGGCCCTGGTTCAGGACCATGTGGTGTGCATGACGCCCCTCGTGCCCGATCGCCTTTCCCACCTCTGCCGTGAACACTTTGGGAGGCTTTGGGGTTCGAGATTTGCTCAAACTGTCGGCTTGATTGGGGTGCATGCAGAAGCTGGTCAACGGTTACTGCGGCGTGCTTGGATTTGTGAGTGAGGCCTTTCAATCATGCTTCCTGCAAGTATAAGCTCGGAAAGTTCAACTTCACCGTGATGCAGGAGATGCTGAGAGGGCCTGGTATTGCAAAGGACAAAGCAGGAGGAAGGAAGGGAAGTGCAGACAGCGTAAGGACGCCGGGGGCGGCGCCACACGCAGAGGTAAGCCGCAGGGGAAAGGTGGCCGCAAGAGGGACCCAAGGCTGCTGGGCAGTGTGGAAGGACAGCTTCTCATGGGGAACCTCGACGCTCAGAGACCACGCTGCACTGATGGAGCGCAAGCAAGGGGCGCGGAAGGCAGGGCGAGAGGGTGGGGAAACGTGAGGCAGAAAGAGCAGGGGACAAAGGGACAGTCAGCATCAAAGTAGTGAAGGTGGAAGCGGGGGAGGTGGCAGGGAGGCGAGAGAGACGCAACAGGAGAGAGCAGAGGGGGTGACGACAGGAAGCTGCGCAGTTTCATCATGTGGAAGCAAAACCCTTGCACCCCCCTGGATCCTTCTGAGTTTGCCGTCTTGCCAAGCAATCACAAGTCCCAGCGTGTGTTGTTGCTTGGGTTTCGGACGCGAACACTTCGGGGGGCCACTGATGTCTTTCACAGCCCTCTCCGGAGGGAAGACATACTGCCTTCGTGTGCCCTCTTCCCTTCTTGTTTGCCTTCGGTCGGTCTCCAGGAATCGACATAGCCTCGCCACGTCCCGCAGCCATCCAGGATGGGCTATTCGACCCTCTAATCCCCATAATTAAATGTATACAGGGCCTTTTTAAAGGGTTATAGAGTACAATAGCCCGTCCTGGATCATCCTACAGAACGACTTGTGCAGCTTGAACCCACCGAGCGCACCATGGGAACCTGCTGAGCTTTAGGGTTTAGGGTTTAGGGTTTAGGGTTTAACTCTTGCCAGTTGAAATTCAATTATTGGAATCATGCAAGTATTGCGCTGCTTGTGTTCTGCGCGATGAAACAATCTCTGGCATCCTGTCACTATGAAGCTTCGCATCTTGCCTTAAGCCCCAAACCCTAAACCCTAAACCCTAAACCTTAAACCCTAAACCCTAAACCCCAAACCCTAACGGCTGCTAAGACGCGGTGAAAGTGGAGGTGATGCCCAGCGAAACGGTCGCCAGCACGCCGGACGTTTCCAAGCCTTGCAACAGGCTTCTTGCACCCCCCTTCCTAGGGATTGAAAAGCTTAGAGAACTTCATCCCTACATACCTGGAATCCTTAGTGCTGCAAACGGGGTTGGGATGAGGGCGTGGGGGTTGAACTTCCCAGCCTTCTGCAATGAAGCAGGTGGCATAGACCACAACCTGAAGAAGGCCGAGTAGCAAAAAACAGGCTGCTTAGAATAGAAGTCACCAGATGCCCATCGAGATCTGCGGTTCCCCACCCATAATCAGGATTCTAGTATTTAGGGGCATTCCGATTTTGGGGAGTACCCACGAGCAACCAAAACTGCACCAATCGGCACACGGGCCTCCGAAACTTTCGGGGGATTCTGATGGACTCTTCTGGCAAAAACGCTTCCATAGCCCTCAGCCCTTTAAGCACAAAAGGCTGCAAACGCTTGCTGCTTTCTGCAGTTGCTCCACTATCTTAAACCTATGGTTGAACCCATGAAGCAGCGACCTTGACACCCCATCACCTGCAGTGAAACACCGCCAAAGCAGCCAGAATCGAAGTTGTCTGCATGAGGACATGCTGCGAGCGAACCTTGCCAGCACAGCAGGGCTGCGGACTTTTTTGCAGCTCGGGGGGCTGACGTAACAGAACTTCGCAAATGTGGTTTGTTCAAGTTTTGGGGCGGCCCCATGGACCCCATGCCCTGGACCCCGAAACCTTCAATTACTTGCTTGAAGTTGCTTCGCAAAGGGGAGAACGAGGTGTCGATTTCAACAATCCCCAAAATCATGTATATTTCGGGCTCCATCTTAAACAATAAGGAAAGTTAAAAATCATCCCAATTCGATACCTAGGACCTAGAAAAGGGCTTCTACCGGGGAAGAGTGGCCGTGAGAAGCCAGGCGTAAAGCAACCACCCGGCCGCTATGCCAATCAGAGTGCCCCCACCTCAGCTTGCAGGAAGCATAGGCAGGTTTCCAGCATCTTCTATTAGGCCGTATAATCCCCCTAACCAACCCTATAAAGGGCATTTTACGAGGTTGTAGGGTCATAATAGCCCATGCAGGTTAGCAGATTCCCATCAAAGTCTTGCGTTTGCAGGTTTTGGGGTCTGATTTCATAGGGCTCCTGGCTCAGTGGCCTCCTGGTGGAAAAACAGGTTTGGTTTCAAGTCTATTGGCCCCATGGAGCATGCCTGCTCTATGACACAATCCGAGAAGGAATCCTGTGCCCCTAAGAAGCCTGGCTGTGCGGATTCCTAGATATCCTGTGGCCTTTGTCCGTGGTCACTCATGAAGCTGTCTAGGCAGGAAGACTCATCTCGACAGTTAAGACAAAGACCGACGCCCAAGACAAGTTAAGTGGCCGAACTTGTGTGTGCATCCTCTTATTTTGACATGATGGCAACATTAACAGAGACTTCTCCGAAGCCGAAACCGAAGCGCGCTTGATTGTACAGGCCTCCCTTCCTCACCCCTTCAAACATGCCTTAGGGGCTTGCCAGTCCCACTTGGAGAGTTAGGACTTGCCACGCTGACTTGTTAATTTTCGGGTGTAGGTTTCCTTTTCGACTCTGCCACCTCTTCCAAGTACTGCCTCGACTTAAAGATTAGGGCTCGCAACTTTCCGCGCCTCTTTGGCCTTGGGGTTTGTGGTCACAGGTAAGCAAGAACACAGCAAAAAGCAGCAAATGAGGAAAACGACCATACCTCCTCCATTTTGCGACCGGCCGCAGGCGACCTGGGCGAAGTACTGCAGCACCTGGGCAAGGGTGTCTCAGCGCATCCCGATCAGGCTCTGGAGGCCTGCGCAAAAAAAAAACATACGCTACATGACACCTCTTATGAACCCGATCTGCAAGCTCAGCACCAACCCCAACTATATACATCCTCCAGCTCGAGTGCACAACCTGCGGCCCAAGTATTGACAAACGCGGCGCGCACGGGATGGCCGGCGGCGAGGTTGGGCAGTACCTTGGCTAGTTGTAGGGTTTGCTTTTCAGGCAGGTCCTAATGCTCATGCAGCATCTGCATGGACCCCTAACTTGCAAAGATCCCAATACTGGGCCGGAGTTTCGTCGGGATCCGCGCAGTTCGGGCAGGGGTGAGCGGGGTGGGTTAAATTGTAGAGTCAAAAACGAAACGAGCCTACTTTTTACCAATTCATCCTGAAGCCCCTCCTGAAGCCGCTGCTGGTGCTAGAAGATCACCCTCGTTTAGGGTTTAGGGTTTAGGGTTTAGGGTAAAGTTTGGGTTTTAGGGTTTAGGGTTTAGGGTTTAGGGTTTAGGGTTTAGGGTTTAGGGTTTAGGGTTTAGGGTTTAGGGTTTAGGGTTTGGTGAAGATTATTGAGATTGAGACACTTCTCGGATGCCGGGGCCAGGGAGCCCATGACCCACCTCCAGCGAGCGAGGGTGTGTCTTACTGTTGGTTCGTAGGGAATGGGGGGAATGAGGGTAACCCTATCTAATCCCTTAAAGGGTATATATAATCCCTTAGAGGGTATATAGATTCCCTTAAAGGGTATATATATAATCCCGTAAAGGGTATGTATATAATCCCTTAAAGGGTATGTGTAGGGTCCTGATTCCCTCATTCCCTGCTAACCAACATTAAGGATTCGGAAGCAGCCGTGTTTGATTCGGCCCAGGGCTTGTCACCTGCTCTAGTTGGCATCTGCCTACTCCTTCTGAGTCGGATGGGGTTTAGGGTTTAGGGTTTAGGGTTTAGGGTTTAGGGTTTAGGGTTTAGGGTTTAGGGTTTACTGTTTAGGGTTTAGGGTTTAGGGTTTAGGGTTTAGGGTTTAGGGTTTAGGGTTTAGGGTGGGAACGTTCTCCATTTAGAGGTGCATTGGCTTCAGAACTGCCCGGTTCGCGGGATGTTGGGTTTGGTGAAAGCAAGAATGTTGGGGGTTCACGACAAGGGTTTCTAGGCTTTGGGGGCAACCCTTCGGCATCTAGAAGTATTTCGCATGAGGGCAGGTGTGCTGAGGGCTCAGTTGTGTTGATCAATCACTCACGCTGAATCCAGTTACCTTGTTCTTTCTAAGCAACTCTTTGAGAAAAAGCTCGGGGTTTAGGGGCAAGGGTCTAGCTAGCTGGACGCTAGGGCTGGGACGCAGGATCAACAAGGTTGAGGGCTTTTTTGCCCTAAACCCTAAACCCTAAACCCTAAACCCTAAACCCTAAACCCTAAACCCTGCATCACAATCAAGCAAGCTCAGGCGCTCCATGAAAACGTAAGTTACCACCACGGCGGAGCCATCGTTGACCAGGCTCCTAAGGGCTTCCAGAGGGCTTTGAGCCGTTTGATCCACAACTCCGAAACCAGGCTGAAACCCCATCTCCGAAAAAACCTCCCGAACCTTGAAGAGGACTCGCCAGCATGGCAACACTTTGCCAATCAGTTGTGGAGACAGCTACAGCTCTAAGCCTGGGACATATGCCTGGCACATTGTAAGATCCAGGGATGAAGGCAGAGAGAGAGAGAGTCAGAGACTGTGGGTAGGCATCCGCGTGTTGCGTTTTTCCACTTTTTTTGGAGCCGTCAGCAAAAGAACAAAATTAGCTCAGCTACACATGCACGGTCACACCGTTCAAGCATTGGCTGACTACAGGTCCTGGGCCCCTGGGAAAACTTGACTTATCTTGATTCAGCGTGCCTGAGGAAGGAGTGTGTTGCGTGAGACAAACCTGCAGCATGAACGACGACATCGATAAAGTCGGTCATAAACCAAGAACTCCCAACTCAGTACCCTAAACCCTAAACTCCAACTCAGTACCTTAAACCCTAAACCCTCAACCCTGAACCCTAAATCTTAAACGCCCGCACTTTTCGAGCCAACTCCTCCTCAGAACTCAGTCCCAAGCCCTAGTCCAATCCAGGCGCTCTCCGTCTACCAACGTGCTCAGCTTCGCTGGTGCACCCAGGGTCCTGACTGAATAGGGTTTAGGGCTGAGGGCTTAGGGGTTTGGGGCTGAGGGCTTAGGGTTTAGGGCTTAGAATGTCCAGTGAGTCTGGAGCGCAGGAGGCCCCGGAACCGAAACTCCATCAGGGTCTGAACTTGCTCTGGGTTTCGGGAGTTTGGGGCTTAGCATGAGTATTGATTTCGTCACCATGCCTGGGGCGAAAAGCTCCATTTAGGTGTAGAGGCCTGATGCTGGGGGATTTCGGACATGGACATTGCATTCGTATTCGTAAGACCAGGAGACTTTCAAGGAGATTCCATTGAGACGCATTGAGGTTTCATATCCGAACTGCTTGAATTCCAAAAGCATGAAATGGTCAGAAGAGCCCCTTGTTTAGTGGACATCGCCCCAGCCCACCCTCGCCATCTCTCGCTGTGAGGCCGCCATGCTTCTAGCCCGGGTCTCTAGTTCGGGTCTCCCAGAGAATCCGCAGAGAATCTTCGCCGAGTATTCCTGGACCAGGCCCCAAAGAATCCCACAAGTTTCCTTAGCTATGGGTAGCTTGAGGGAGTAAATGATGTCGACGCAACATTGCAAGAACCCTGAGTACATGATGTTGCATTTTCCGATGGACAGTTCATGGAGGTTTGGGTTCATGGCCGAAGCCTACTCTTGCTGCCCCTCATGTTTCTTCGCAGGTGCAGCATGCAATGATCAGAAGAGCATCGTGTGGAACAGTGATGCCCACACACTGTTGGTTGTTCACCAACAAGCACAACCGGAACTGCCCTTAACCGTAACCCTTAACAAGTAGGCAAGCGGCTGACGTGGCCAAGCGGCGACTTTCTGAACCCTAAACCCTAAACCCTAAACCCTAAAGCACTAAATTAAGACCTCCGAATCCCCTTGGCTTCCAAGCCGCTTCAGAGCCGCGACCACGGCCACCGGATCTGTGGCCGACAAGACAGCACCTCAGGTTTAGGGTTTAGGGTTTAGGGTTTAGGGTTAAGGGTTAAGGGTTTAGGGTATAGGGTTTAAGGTTTAGCGTTTAGGGTTTAGGGTTTAAAGTAGGCCTTGGGTTGTTCACTCTTCTGAAACGCAACTGGCAGACGGATGCTTGAAGTATGTACAGGCACATACAAGTATTGATACGCGCCATCACGTGCTGCGACATCTGAAGCGGTATGTTCCCTCCTGTTTGTCGAACCATCAACTTCGAAGAACAGCCCTTCTTCATGCTCGACGTCAGCTCGCATCAGCCGTACAGTCAGAGGACCAAAGTCGTACAACGTAAGCTCTTCCAATCGACCAAACACACACAATGGACACGCAATCTCACCTTTCCCGGAGGCACCCAGAAGAAAGGACGACTCCCAGGAGGGTGGCTGGTTGTGGATTTGAACAATCCTGGGCATCAAGCAAGAGCAACGGATCTTTGGGGGTGACCGGTGCTGGCCATCATTGAGGGAAAACGATCTTGTTAGCAATGCCTAGCTAACCCTAAGGGTCCATGTATCTAAATAGGGAATACTTGGCCCTTAAACTCCCTGTATAGGAGGTACGTTAAGGCCCAAGTACTCCCTATTTAGGTACATGGACCCTCAGGGTAAGGGTGCCATTCGCCTTCGTCTTAGTCTCAGACACTGTCCTCATGCCAGCATGTTCACGCGACAGGCGCCTGTTGCATCCTCATACACAGAACAACCCCAAACCGAACTCAGGCCCAAGGCCCTTTAGGCTTTTAGGTCTCTGGAACGCGGTTGTCCCTTGTATGGCAACAATAGCATTCTTCAGAATTTCGGAGTCCAGGAAATACCCCAAATCCATGTGTATTGCGGCCAAGATGATCCCTCGGACAGCCGCGCCCGTCAGGGCGGTGTTAAGCAAAACGCCGGGCCAGGCCAGAAGGTAGGAAGACACCTGCAGACGGCCGAAACACACTGCCTGCGAAAGATCAAGTGTGTTCGACAGTGTGAGTGTCTGCGTGCGCGCATACGCGTGCATGTGACCAGGATGATTTGCAGTCGACGTGTCAAGTCGATGGGAGCACTCTCTATGAATTTTACTTGACATGCGCTTGCAAACCACGTGACAACCCCTTAGAGGGGCAAAGGGCCTCCGTGTGATTCTATGTCTTGCTCCAGCCGATTGTGCTGACAAAGTGCCCATGGTGATGTGATGGATGAATCGCCAAACCATCTGATTCTATCGAATGCCGAGGACTACACTATTAGGCTGACTTACCTGACAACTCCTGTGAACAATAAGGCCAAGCGAAACATGAAACCCAAACGCGCGACCTATGAACATCCGGCGTAGTCTCTCTCTCTGTGGAAGCACGTGACAACAGTTCGAGGGATGATGCCCGTGGTTTGTTCGTGTGCGTGCGCACGCGCGCGTGTGCGTGCGAGTGGGTGTGTACTTCTTCTTTTTTTCTCGAGCGGGCGCGCATGTGCGAACGACTTGTTGTGAGGCAGAGCTTATCACCCTAGGAACCCCTCCGAAGCCTCTGTGATCTGATGTAGGGTTTAGGGTTTAGGGTTTAGGGTTTAGGGTTTAGGGTTTAGGGTTTAGGGTTTAGGGTTTAGGGTTTAGGGTTTAGGGTTTAGGGTTTAGGGTTTAGGGTTTAGGGTTTAGGGTTTAGGGTTTAGATTCCACAATATATCGTGATAGCCCACGGCAGGTATGCAGAAATGATGTAGATTGCTTACATTCTCATGGTTCATTACATTGCAGCTGGTCTCGTGAACAATACGCAATCCTTTCTTCCCAAAGCCACGGCCACAAATGGCCGAGCTAGCATTCTAGCAGCCGAGATGCAAGTACTTTCTTCAGCACATGCCTAGGCTGTTCTTCAAACTCCTAGTGACATTCACAGCGCTTCTTGTGTGTGCTTGCTAGGTGGATCGAAAACTTAAACTACTAACTGCTTAAGAAGCCCCCCAAAAAACTAAAAAAACATATTCTTCCTTATGAAGGGTCATATAGGACGATTATTTCTGGGGTCCTTCAGCAAATATTAGTAGAAAGGTGTTTCCAGAGCGGCCACGCAGCCACGACATGCTGCTCGAGCTCTCGAAAAGCAGGGGCGGCAGCAGGATGAAAAAGAGCGCATGGGGCTCGAACCAGGCAGCCTGCCTAAGCATCGCGCAAGTGTTGCAAATGTCTTAGGTTGAAGGAGAGGAACCACAGTTCAGATAGCGTTGTTCGCCTTTTCCTCCCCTGCAAAAGCCCGCTCTTAGGTGCTTTCTTGGGATTTCGGGGCTGAAGGTCCAGGGCTCTTATACCCATCACTCATGGGTTGGGAGCAGGGTTTAGGGTTTAGGGTTTAGGGTTGAGGGTTTAGGGTTTAGGCTTAGGGTTTAGGGTTTAGGGTTCAAGGTTTAGGGTGTAGGAGCGCCGTCTCCGGGATGGTTTGCTAGCTTCAGGGCAGATGGCCCTTAGCAACTCGTCAAAAAAAAAAAGACCCACCCAGAGAGCCCAACACCCCCGAATTAAGGAATATGGCGTAAATAATACCGGGATCCTCATTATGATTTAAGGGATATTCCTTAATTAAGGGGTATTGGGCTCTTTGGGGGGCCGAAGGCAAATCCGTCCCAAAACCAGCCTTGCATCGGGTGTCCTGAAACGCACGCCATACTATAGGGGATTCCGAACATAAGGGGGCCCCTACTATAGACCCCCCAAATAGCAAGATTCCCGTATAACAAGGACCCCTTTAAGGCACCCCTGAATTTCGGAAACGCCCTCATGAAAAAGTGGTCTTGTAAGGAGATCCGAGATGCAGGACTCCTTCCACTAGCTCTGACACGAAGGAGTCTTTGACCCTCTCTGCCAGGTAGTCCACGACAAAAACTCCTCTCACACCGGAGCTACTGCTTGGTAGCCCAGTAACCATGTTATAATAAGGGCACCCTTTTTGGGTTTGGTTACTGTATAAGGGAACCTTGAACCAAAAATAAAAAAGGAAAAGGGTGCCACTTGGCTACCAGGGCTGAAGACGCTCAGACGATGGAGGTAGTGGAGGTCCGTTCTTGGAGTTTTCTCACATCGGAAGCGCAGCTTGTTGTGGTTCTGAACTCTCTACACTGCATTGTGCTGCCGTTGGACCACTTTGGCATGTTTCAATGCCAAAGTCGCATGTCTCTCACCGTCAGTAAGACAGACTCTCCTTTTACAACTCAAAAAAGCAATGGCAAAAGATGGACTAAGAAATGCAACGCCTGCAGGAAGCCATGTTTTTGGAAGCCTACATGACTTCTGCAGACATGTGTGCCCTATCATGAGCCAATGGAGACAGAATCCGAAAGAAACCTGTATCATTCAAGATCCACTAGAGAAGAGATGGAATGACCTTGAAAGATTTTCTGCATGCGTAGAAGTCGGGAAAAAACGCATGATGTGTATCAGTATGGTCTGGGAAGGGAGCCTGACTGCACATGTCCGTCTTTGCTTGGCCTCTGTGAGGACTGGGTGCATTGGGCTCTGGGCCAATAAAATTGGAGACAGAGCTTCTCCGATAGGGGCTTAGGGTTTAGGGTTTCGGGGGCATGCGGCCTGAAAGAAACGCATTTACGTTCGAGAGAATCTGGATGCCGCATGATATGACCGAGGAGTTTAAGACGATTTTGTGAGTAAATTTGAAAGGGGTGACCTTTAGATTTACTTCCTTCGTCTGCGAGGTCAGCGAGACATTCATTGGAGCAATAATTTTGCCGGTTGAGATGTCCCTACGATCGCAAGAAGACTTTATGTTCAAGGCTCGTCGAATGTTCGTGAAGCGGCTGGAATCCGTACGCGCAAGTAGTTGGGATTGTGTCAGAGTGGTACTATTGAATTGCATACATTTGGATAGATTGTATGCTGGATCGAGTCACGTCTAACTTGAGGGGGGGGGGGAACACTTTGTTCAGAGGGGTTTAAGGGGGCGGAGTGGGTATGGCGAGTGACTGGCAAGGTGGCGCAAGGATAACTCGATACATGAAGCATTTCCTACTAGAGGAAGCAGCATCCAGAAGTGATTTTACTTGCAGTCACCGAGAGGGACTGCTTGTGGAGCTGAACCAGCTGAAGTAATCTGTGCAAATGCTCAGCCTAACTGGAAAGAAGTACCGTGACATCTGCATATTCAATAACCCATAAGGGAAGAGGAGTGTGAACAAACACCTGAGCTTTCCCCATGTGGTAAACGCTGCTGGTCTTGTACGACATGGAACAGGTGTACGGACAAAGGAGAATAGGTAGGGGGAGAGAGGACTGCTCTGTATCGCAGACTCGTAGTCTGTGTGAGTGTCAAGTTGTTGGCCAGAATCTTTAACAACAAAAGTGGCACAGTTATAACCGGCCATAATACCCTGCACAGTCCGACTCCCATAAATTCCAGAGCTGAGCGTGCTGCAGTAAAAATAGAGTTCCCAGGCATTAGACAAGTACAGAAGGCGTGAAAGGAGGAGGTTTGGCGCTCATACATCTCAACTATCCTGCAGAGAACATGGGGAGAACATGCGTCGGTCGATTGGCGGAGCGCCTTTCTCGAACACCGTTGTTGGTAAAACCGTACGACCTGTCAAAAGATGCCACAATCGAAATAATGCTCCAAAGAGGTCTGCAACATTGAACTCATACCAAGGTACGCGTGTCCTTTGAAACTTACTTAACCCTAAACCCTAAACCCTAACCCTAAACCCTAAACCCTAAACCCTAAACCCTAAACCCTAAACCCTAAACCCTTAGCCTAAACCCTAAACCCTAAACCCTAAACCAAAAAACCTAAGAGGAAGGCATCTCAGCCCTGCTTCAACAAGAGCAACATTTGAGGACATCAGATAGTCACTTCTCCAAAACATGGTCCCTTTTGGGGTTACTATGATAAGGCGGCCCCTAATCTTTTCGGGCACCCCAAAGAAGGACCATCATTTAGAGAACTGATCTTTTGGAGAGTAGGGTTCAAGGTTTAGGGTTTAGGGTGAGTAGTTGTAACATTCCCGTACAACATGATTCAGGCTTGGTGCTTTCTCATGTTGAATCTTGCGCAAGGCTGTGTTGATATTCTGTATGTGGTCACTCATATGCGAAGAAGCATTAGGGCGCATACAGCCTGAACTGTGCTGTCATACCGAAAACTGCTACTTGCTGGGAGCGGTCCCTGGGGCGTGGGACGACTCTGTGCTCGGGCCTATATACTACTTTTGGAATGTACAAGGTTTGATGAGTTGCATGAAGACCTGGGGCCGAGTGCTCCTTAGCGCACACTTCTGGAAGAATTCGGCGGCCTTTGATGTTCTCTACAAAGTCGCCACGCTTTGGCATCGGTCCGAGGTGCGAGGAAGACGATAGGGCTGCGAAAAACTATTACATGAGCAGGCCGGCCCCCATGCCACTCCTCAACAGCCGTCAGAGCTGTGATGACTTCTCGCACACACACACACTACGAGTCACTACGAAGCTTTGAGCAAAGTACCCACAGTTGTCTGAACTGCAACCTCCTCCCAAACACCGGAAGCTCCTATCAGCAGCCCTGCGACGAAGAGGACCACGGAAATGGGAAGCCGGATGCACGAGGGCACCTTCGAGTTCCTCGAATCCATGGAAACCCTCCCCCCCCCCCCCCAAGATTTAGGGTTTAGGGTTTAGGGTTTCGGGTTTAGGGTTTAGGGTTTAGGGTTTAGGGTTTAGGGTTTAGGGTGCGGAGCTGCAATTGGTATTGTAGAAAGGAGTTAGTGTTGGAAGTTGAAAGGGTTAATGAACCCGTAAACTATGTTTGGCTCAAGGATGGCCAGCCCGTCCAAAGAAAAAAGTCCGTGTTTGGGAGTGAGGGTTGGGTTAGTGCCCCTCTACTTGTGTAAGGGTGCCCCTTCCTTGTTGCTCTTATCCGTGTTCTTGGTTGTTTCTTGGTTCGATCTGGGAAATATAAGTTCAGGGCGATTAGGGGAGTTGATTTCCTTCCTTGGTTGTCCCCCCGTAGGTTATGAGCCCAAATTAGGTTCCCTGCGGTTAAGTGTTCTTTCAAGGTTTTTGGGATCAAGAAGCAATGCCTTCTCCGAAGCGATGGCTCCAACTTGCCTCGGATGGTGGACAAGATGGTGGAGCTGGAAATGGTGCAGCTGAGTCTCTGGGTGAAAGATCGGTGTTGGAAGAGGTGATTCCCGGCGCTGAAGAACATCTGGAAGAGGCCTTGGTTGCAGAAAGCCCCAATGTGGGTATGAATCCCAATAGGGATATGGTTAGCAATGCTGAAGCTGAAGGACGTGCTGTTTCTGTATCGCCAAAGCCTGGTGAGAAAAGGAACTGGGACGCGACTGGTGGTATAGATCGTGAAATGGAGGTGACTGTTTTACGAGTGTTGCACAAACACGGGTATCAGCCGTCGTCTTCGACTTCGGGTCGAATGGTAGACCAAGAGTCTCAGACCGATCTGATTGGAGAAGTGCTGCAAGCGGCTCGGAGGCCTCTGAACAAGATCAAAAGGGGTCCATCTTCGAGTTCCCAAGGTGGTGGAAGCGGTCATGAACAGAAGGGTGCGGACAGCTTTGAAGCTGCACCTGCTGCTGGATACGCCATGGGGGAGGAGGAGATCCTACAGATGGAGGCTGAGAGGTTGCGACAGTTGTCCGAAGAAGAGGACGAGATGCGACAGGTCTCTGAAAGGGATGGTTTTCAGAAAGACGAGCATCTGATCAAAGCGTGCGATGGGACAACGTGGGAATGGCACCTCCATGAAGATGGGAGACAATATTATTACTGCCTGGATACGCAGGAAAGCAAGTGGACATTGCCGGTGGTAGGTGAAAAGATGAAGAGTGACGAGGTGGTTGGGTCTCCTTCGGGCAATGAGCTGGAAATGGAGGCGGCACTGGATTCTTCATCCTCTACTCCGAAGACTGAGTCTACGAGGGCATTCCAGGGTAGTGTAAATAGTTTAGGTGAAAAAGATTTTTCCTCTACTATCAGGGATAGCGGTCCTAGGGCTGGTGGTGACGCCCCGACCTCGGGTTCTCCTGATGAGGAGGAGATTCCTGGAAACCGAACAGACATCGCTGGAGCTCAACATCTGGATCGGGAAGGAATGGGAGCACTTTCTGAGGGTGTGGCAGCGGTGGAATCGGTAGGTCCAGAAGAAAAGATTCCCAATGTGGAGATCGGAACTGTGTCGGCTGCAGAAGATCGAGTGGTGGATGTGGTACCTGTCGTTCGGGAATGTGGTCCTGGAGATTTGGAAGACGGAGGGAAAAGGTCGTGTGTTGCGACTGAGGAGGTCTCTTCGTTTGGTGCCAAGGTTCCTGCCATTCAAAGGGAAAAAGAAGCTTCTGGAATAGCTGGAGACACAGAAGATCTGAAAAATGAGGCCTGGAGCGCCAATGATGCGCGGGTCGATGCGCCAGATATTACCTGGAGTGCGAAGGAAGCACGGGTTGAGGTGCATATGGCGTTACGTTCCACGGGCGACTGCAACAATGGGGCGCAGGTCTCCGCAGCAGCTGATGATGGAGGTTCACAGGTGGACGCACTGGTGCAACCTGAAGTTAGCAGCGAGGAACGAAATGACAAGGGCTACACCGGAGCCAATGAGGCAGCTGTGGTCAATGATGGTGGAAATTCTCCTTTGGAAGCCATGGAACCAAAGGATCCTGCGGTGGAAGAAAGCATGCCTGCCGTGGATGATCGACTCAATTGCCCTGCAGTGGAGGAAGATTTGCCTGCTGCAGAAGGTGTGACAAAGGACTCCAATGATGGGTCCACTCCCATGAAGGGAGAAGTGTTGCCGTCTGGAAGTTCGCCGGAAGTCGACACCGAGCGAATTACAGCAGATGAGGCAAAGCCTTTGGCGGAGAAAAAGAGAGGTCCTGAAGTCCAGGAGCACAAAAAAGATGAGCTTGTGGGACTCGTGGAGCAGGACGAGCAGTGTGACTCAAAGGTGAAAACAAAGGATGCGCCAGGAGCCGATGATACAGAGGTGGTTTCTGAAGAGCAAGCAAAGAAAGTGCCCCGAGCGGGAGCCTTGGAATCACCTGGGACACATTGCTATCAAGAGGGAGATGAGATCATGGGTCTAGTGCGCTGCATCAATGGGTATGGAGCTTTTTTGGACCATGGTGATTTGAATGTATTGATTCCTACAGAAGGGAACAATACGTGCCATTTCAGATTTGGTGATACTGTCAATGGAACAGTGAAACTAGTGGAAGATGATGGTACCATAATCTTGGACACCTTTCTGGTTTTGGAAGAGGACGTGGAGGACTCTTCCTCAACGCTGCGGAAGTGGAAACCCAGCGGCTGGAGTACGTGGTGGACGAATCCATGGTATGTTGGTCAGTGGTACCGAGATTCAAACGGTCAATGGGACTGGAAACAGGAGGAAGAGCATTCCGATGAGGAGCTTGTGATACAGGAGTTATCCTCTGAAGAACGAGAAGAAAGACAACTTTATGGAGAAAAGATCTACAAAGCTCTTCTGGAGAATGGAAACGAAGAGGAAG